CTTGAGGTGGAGTTGGTTCGTTAGCGGAAAAAGCCATGTTGTTCATTGTCAAGTAGGTGGACCCTGGCAGAGCAAAAGATGCAGAGGGGCGTGTTTGTGTAACGGAGCCATTTTGCATGACTGAAATGGCCAATGTATGATATCATATACACTATCTATGATTGGCAGCTAACAGCCACTTCCTCCCAATCCCAACTTTTGTTTATTGTGTGACAGTGGAATTATGCTCCTGCTCCAGGCATTCATTTCCATCATCCAAGCTTCTTGATCCAAGCTGATTTGGCTGAGCTACGCCCAAACAAAGAATACGTCAATTCTTGAAAGACAGACCCTGCGAATGTCTCCGTCTTTCAAACTTTTGGACGTTCCCATTCCAAATTTTCAATTGAAGCATGAGGTCTTTATTAGAAAAAGTTGATCAGCATGCTCGAGAGTACCCTTCTGACCAATTTTCAAGTTGGAAGTGGGCAACTTCGGGGCGGTGGACCGCCCGCTCTTTTGTACCCCTTATCCACCATTTGGACCACCCCGCATTCAAGACATTCTTAATGAAGTGTATAGTTTTTAAATGAATGAAGTTGATAAGCATGTTCCAGCGAACCTTTTGACAAAGTTTCAAGTCCAAAGTGTGGAATCCCACGATAGTACATACTATTTCGATAAATCATGAATCCGGCGCTGATCTCCATGTACGACCTCCATAGTAAACTCACATTACATCCTCCCATTCAAATTTCTATAATGAAGTGTAGGTTCTTTTTTAATACAAAGTTGATCAGAATGGCCAAGAGCATAATGTGCGAAAGTTTCACGGCCGAAGTGGGCAATCCCATAATCAAGATTTAGCTTACAGGATTCATGCATTTATACAAGAGGTGTCCGACCTATTTAATTTCCACTTTTTCCACTCCTGCGTTCTTCCCTCTTCCCCCATTCTCAACTGTTGGCCCGTTCAAGTATACAACTACCACCTACGAACGATTGTCCGGCTTCAACCCATCATGTCAATCCTACGATTGCCTTGATCCGATTGCCTCTGAGTGAATGGCAAGTCCATGGCGTGTACGCCCCACTACAACACCCGCGTTTCTTGACACTTCGCGTTCTCTTGTACATTCGTCTACCACGATCAATCGTAGCAGCATTCATTGCAAGGCCTTTACTCCATTGCTTCAAACAGTGTTCTTTACTTGCAGCAACCTCCCTTACAGCCTTTGTTACGTGCGACAGCTGATAGCCATTGTATACAAGCAACTTTATTTACATGTAGCAGCCTACTTCAATACATACGCCTTCTTATGGATATGGATATTTCTCTGGTGCATGGGATGGAAGGAGTTTGATATATGGACCTGGTTGCTCCATTTAGAACGTTTGGATGATGCCATATCAGCTATCAAGCACACTGCAATACAAGCAATCGTCACCTGGTTGAGCTGCGATAGAAAACGACTAAGAAAGAGATCGAGAAAAGGATACATGCCAGCAACGATCACATGGCTCTTGTCAACCAACGTTTTGGATTTGCAACGGTTATGGATGGATGGATGCAACCAAGTACAGTCATGGGAAACTTTGGAAAGCTGCTTTGGTTACTTGGGACGTCGTTAGCAAGAAGAAAGGAAGGATCCTGTCACATGGATACAACTAAGGGTGATGATGAATTGGAATGGCATTGACGAGAGGACTTCTATCTTTGATGTACCACCATGGGAGAATCGATGTACTTGAGTAAAGCTATGCTGCAGCTGTTTGGGAAGGAGGTGTTTGTGACGGCAGCAACAACAATACAATGACATACAATGATACCCTATACCTCTTTGTGATTCATCCATACCTTCTTCCTTTGGCAATGTTGTTTTTTTACCATACTTACTCAATAAACATCCACAGCACCATCGCTCATTCCTCGACTTGAAATGAATGAACACTGAATTCAGCATGATTGTCAGAGTATTATACAATCATCTCGTATGTACAATGAGTGTATATGGCTACGTGAAGTTGGATTGAATGAAGGTTCCAAAGCGATTACAGCGTCGTATGGAGACGCTTTGATCACTTTTTTTCATATCACCCTGATTAAGGTTTCCTCGTTCATATGCTAGCCAGATGATACTGTAGAGTTGCCTCTTAGCACTTACTATGAAGACCCCCGTTATCACTCTTTACAACTCCTTATCCACGCAACTACGATCAATTGGAATTTATGCATTACTACAATGACTTTTTTTTCGACGTGCATCATGCAACAATGTGTGTGGGGTGGGGATTGAACACGATGATGATGTTAAAAATGGTGCGAATATAAAAGGAAAATGATGATGCATCAAAACAAGATAATACACGTAAAAGGTTGGAGAATGAAAGTGAAGGATAATGAAGTGGCATGGGTTCTATAACTCTAACTTGCTCGTCACCGCCTTGTTGCCGGAGCGTTTAACGAACCACAAGTACATTTCACCAATAGACTCCAAATCGTCCATATACCCATCGATGTGTTCATCTAACAATGGGATGGCTTCGGTGACAAGTTGTTGTTTTCCCTCAAGTTCCCGCTCAAATTCATCACCTTCCTGTGGTTTGCCATCAAAGTCCCAAGCCTTGAGATAATGCACGATCTTGTTCTTGTTGGGCATGTTCTTGTTGTAAGCGACATCGCGATCCATCATCCATTGCACGGTACGATCCCAACCCATGGCTGGCAACAAGTAAATATCCATATCCCATTCCTGTGTCACACGATGCAACACTTGCTTGGCATGGGCAATGGTCTTTTTGCGTACCTCCTCTTGAGTACTTAAACCTTGCTCAGTGACATCCCATCGATTGGGTGGACCAAACTCAAGCACACAATGCTCCACCAACCCAGCAGCAAATAATTCACTCGCTGAATCCAAAGCTTGTAATTCGAATCCTTCCACATCAATCTTCAAGAAATGGATTGGTTGGCGTAAAAGTGATGACACATTTTTGAGACTGCCGATGGCTACACCGTTATTGTCGGTGGAAGCTTCCAATCCCTTGGCATAAGCGGCATCAATTTCCTGTGGGCTGTTGATCAATGTTTTGTCTGTGCCGGTAAACAACTTGTCAAAAGCAGGCAACGTATCCAAGCGAATCGTTTGCGTTTGCATGATCGTGTTTTGGTTGGCAAAATCAAGGAACCCAATACCGCCATCATTGACGTTATAGTTGGACATGGACACCTTGCGGAATTTATCAAGGACGGCAAAGGGGAGAACTCGTAGCCGCGGTGATACTTGATTAAGACGTGCGCCAAGACCAATTACACCTATCATGATCAAACATTTTTGTATGAGCACATGGGTCAACGAAGACGATGTGTGCGTATGTACGAGGAAACCATCACCATACACACACAACAGCAGCAACAACAACTTACTACGCAGGTTTGTTTGTGGTTCAAAAGCAATAGTGTGAGCACCACTAGCACTAGCGACCATAGAAAACAAGCCATGGTTGGATCCTTTTATCCGAAAAAGGTGTGAGCGTGTTAATAAAAGCTAATAAAGCCTGGTGTCTCTTTGTCTTGATCGACCAGGAGCAACAAAAGCAAAAAGCTATATACCATACCTGCATCGACCATAAGCAAGGGGTGTGTGCGAGTGGGGTCACGACGATACACACGCAAAATCCATTTCATCAACGTATAAATACGATGCTCACGTTCATAGTGTCTATCAATGTCGACAAGGTGGCCTTCGGAAGCGATAAAGACATCGGGCTTTGTGTTGATCTGAAACATGTGGTGTTATTGGATAAGCTCATACACACTAGCCAAAAACTTACAAGGCCAATATTCCAAGACTCAAGTCTTTCAGCATAGGCAAGCGCGTTACCATCCTTCAACCGCATAGTGATCTGATCAGCCGTTGGGGCTACCAAAGGCAAGTCTTTGGTCGACGCAGGATGTTGCCCTGTAAAAAAATTAAGGAGGGGTGAAACCCAACATTAGTAACTTTTTCGGCGCCTAACATAAACATAGGTGCAAACACACACACGCCCCCAATAAAAATAGTATTTTGCTCCTGCATTCCCAACAACAACGTACCAGGCATATATGTTTTTGGTGGTTTGATTGGTTGATTGTTTTGGAATAGCACAGGTTCAAGATGTGCTTCAGCTGGAGGAGGTGGTGGAACAGGAACCGGTGGTGGTGGTGGTGGTGGAGGTGGTGGTTGGGGAATATCAGGTGGTGGAGGTGGTTGTTGTTGATCTTGCTGTGGGGAATCTGGATGGAAGGGTGAAGATGATGCTTCATCCTTATTATCAACAGAGGTATGTTGTTCCTAAGAACATGATGAGTTTGCGTGTTACGGTAATCCACAAGAGCTGGCGTGTATTTTTAACTTACGTAGGAAACGCAGTTGCCGTTCTCGTCGCAAGTCTCTCGGGAATTATATGTCCAAAACATCAGGTTGCCAATAAAAAAGATAAAGACAAGGCCAAGTAGCCATGACTTAGAGCCGAGCCACGGTTTCATCGTGGAGGTATGTGGAGGAAAAAGTACGAAAAAGTAAGAGAGAGGAAAAGGAGGGTAGAATAAAGGAAAGAGAGTAGAAAAAAGACACCATTACTGCGGGCCTAGATTTGGTGGTTTCTTAAAAGGCATTTGCCTAAGCACTAAAAGGATTAACTTGTTCTCCCTCTTGACAGCAGCAAACTCATTACTCTTTCTCTTCCTCCTTTATAAGACCCATCCTTCCCTTGTTGTATTGTACGTGCTCATCTTGCATCTCATCCACCTTTGGATAATCCAACAATGAACATCTTTATCTTTCCATGCCTTTATACCGGCAATGTACCATTTGGCAATGGCGATATGCAGCTATTGACTACAGAATGTCGATCCTTTTACGTCGATCATGGATTGGGGTGTATTACGTTGCACCAACCATTACTAAATATAAATCCCGTCAGTGAAGTACGACTCAGTGACTCGTATTTATGGCTTTGCCTTACCTTTCTAGTGAGCTGCTGGTTACTTTATACACTCACACGGTCGTTTACAGCGTGTCACATGTACTTGCTCCCTTTCCTCTTTGCTGGTATTACCTGTGTCATCTCTTTTTTTCTGCAACTATAAAGCTATATGAGAAAATTTATTGGCTGCCTATAACTAAATACCAAGACGTACCCAGCATCATGGTAGGCCAAGCATGTTTCAGCCATTGTATTGGTTAGCCAATGAGCCTTACAACCAGCACGGTGGATTGATGCATCCAATGTCTTTAACTTTCATTGACTTCAGGACCACGTTATGCGGCATATGGCAAGATGCAATGTGTGCTTCATGAGGCGTGTATTACCACGGCATAACGTACCATTGGGTGGGGTTACAACAATAAACGTTCATTATTAAGCCTGTGTCTGTGTGTTGTTATAGTACCAGATCCATATTCAGGGGCACGTAACAGGATCATTTCAAAACAACAGATCTCATATACATTCATGATACAGTATTTGAAAGCCGAGTTGTCATGTTGTATCTCAGGGGTTCAGTGATGAGCTATTGACTAATTGCCAAAGATGGAATGTCAAAAGATGAAGAAGAATGAAATGATGTTGAATCTGGCTATAAACATTTTGCTACGCTCAACATAGATCATATCATCTCTTGGGTTATTTAGACTGATTCATTGGCAAGGATGAATGTTTGCAATAGCAAAACTTGAAATGACAAGTGTGAAGCGAAAGAAAGCAAAACGGCTGATAAAAGTGCTGAGCTGCTAGGCTTAAATTGGATATCAATCGGAGCGCAGCACGCATGAGAGAGCAAGAGCAAAGAGCCGTTTTTCCTGGCAGTGCGGGCGCAGCTGACTATGTCATGTCCTTGGCAACGGTTGCTATCTTTAACTGTTGGATGGTTTGAATGAAATGGGAGTTTATTGGTGAAGCGTAAATGGTAAATTACATTGAAGTAATGACATGGATAATGGCAATGGTTGTTTGCAATCAAGATTCATGCACAAAAGGGCGGCAGCATCAACCACCTTTTTTTACCTTTTATCTCGAGGGATGATGCTCTTGTGCGACTCTCATTACATCAATACCCTTTTCGAGTCACGTTGCCGCGACCTTCAAAGCGTTTGCTGCACGTATCTCTCTCCATATTTATCTCTTTTTCCTTTTTTCCACACAAGCACACACATACTCGCTCTCTCTCTCTTCTACAACAACGTTATGGTATGTACAATGGAGCCATCGTATAGGCAATCAGATGCACTGGATTGACACGCGATCTGTTGTTGTTGCGTAGGCTGATCAACTTACTCAAGAACGTATTGACGAATTCCGTGAAGCCTTTCAACTCTTTGACCGTAACGGTGATGGGAATATCTCGGCCAAGGAATTAGGTGTTGTTTTGCGTTCGTTTGGTATGAACCCAAGTGATGCTGAGCTGCAGGATATGGTAAGCCATTATGTTCCTGGATGTGACAGGATGAGCCTGTGTGTGCGTTTGGGTACGAGACGTTTTTTAACATGTAAACGCAATAGATCAATGATGTGGATGCTGATGGTAATGGCACTATTGACTTTGATGAATTCCTTGGTCTTGTACAAAACCTGCAATCCACCAATGAAGCCGATGATTTGAAGGAAGCATTCAGGTAAATCAAAAATTGTGGGAGAAGGATGTAGCAGGTGTATTGACGCTATGATTACATGGCAGAGTATTTGATACGGATGGCAACGGATTGATCGATCATCAAGAACTTCGAGATGTGATGGCATCTTTGAATGAGCACCTTACTGAAGAAGAAATCCATTCCATGATTGCTCAAGCCGATATGAATGGTGATGGCAAGATCAGCTTTGAAGAATTCAAGTTGATGATGGGATCCAAATAGACGTATGAAGAATGCAAGTTCTATACCAACATTATCAATTACACAACATCACATTTCACACTTGTACGCATCTTTTGTAAACTATCTTTCTTTTGCATTAAACTTTATGGTAATTCCAACAAAAGCCCGACATTGCCCATTCCCCCATCTTTATTTATCTTGGGCCCATCTACATCTATTTTCCTTCTTGCTCTCTCTCTCTCTCTTAACTCATACGCACATACACAAGCATTCTTTTGGTATCATGACAGCTATTCCCAAAGTATTGACAATTGCTGGTAGCGATAGCGGAGGGTAAGAGTTTATGCATGTATAACAAGGGAGGTTGTCCTGACATAATACAACACGATAGTGGTGCAGGAATTCAAGCCGATCTCAAGACTTTGACATCGCTCAATGTATACGGCTCCTCGGTGTTGACTTCATTGACTTCGCAAAACACATTGGGCGTCGATGCGATCCATAATGTGCCCACCGACTTTGTGCAAAAGCAGCTTGACGCGGTGCTCAGCGATATTGGCACGGATGCTATCAAGACCGGCATGTTGGCTTCTGGTGCTATTGTTCAAGCAGTGGTTGACACGTTGAAAAAGTACAATCATGACAAGTTGGTGGTGGATCCTGTGATGATATCGACAAGCGGTTCCAAGTTGTTGGCCGAGGACGCCGTGCAGACATGTATTGACAGCTTATTGCCCATCACGCTTGTATTGACTCCCAATGTCCCCGAGGCCGAAGTCTTGTTGGGAATGAGCTCTGGTGCTATAAAGACGCTCGATGATATGCGTACAGCTGCCAAAAAGCTTGCCGATTTGGGTCCTCGCAATGTATTGGTCAAGGGTGGACATTTGCCTGTGGAACGGAATGGCGAGAAATACGTTGTGGATGTCTTGTACGAGAAGAAGACGGGCGAATACCACGAGATTGAGAATCCCTATTGTGATACGAAAGATACTCATGGCACTGGATGCACTCTTTCTGCTGCTATTGCTGCCGGACTTGCTCAGGGCAATGATGGTATGTTTAAGGGAAGGGAAGCAAACATCTCAGATGATCATAGGCTAATGTTGATGTAATCATAGTGGTTATGGCAGTAAAGAAGGCTACAATCTATATCCAAGATGCCATCAATGCATCTCACGCATCCATTGGAAAAGGTGCTGGTCCTGTCAACCATCTTCACAATATCCATTTACGTCCCTATGCTTGGTAAGTGCACGATCTTCTCAGAATCCATTCGTGTATTTGGATCATCTCACAAGCTTCATCTCATCGTCTCAAACCTTATCTCTATAGTAAGAGCTATGTTCAAGCATTGAAGGAGTCACTACCCGATGGCGTGTGGGACGAATTCATTGATCACCCATTTGTGCGTGGCATGGCCGATGGAACATTATCAAGAGAAAGCTTCATCTTTTACATCAAACAAGATTACCTTTATTTACAGCATTATGCTCGTTCAGCTGCATTGGCCGCTTACAAGTGTAGGTTTATTATGCAAATATACATGTACGTGACCATCAACTCTAACTCATACATTGTATAGCACCTGACATCGACATGGCCGCAAGAAATGCGAAGATCGTATTGCATATCCAACATGAGATGCAGATGCACTTGAAGGTAAAAGGCAGCAACGGGAAAGTTCGGGTAAGTAAACAGTATCTGATGTCATGGAAACGATAGTACTGCGAAAGCTGGGGCATCTCCAAGGAGGATATCTTGGCAACACCCGAGAGTGTCTACAACGTAGCCTATACGCGTTATGTCCTTGACAAGGGTAAGCATGAAATACTTTTACCCTTTCATATCAATTGACATTGGGTTCCGATTTCTCCCACAGGCGCAACCGGAGATCAGCTTGATCTGCAAGTGGCCATGGCTCCTTGTCTCCTAGGTTACGGTGAAATTGGTGTGAAGCTTTACAATGACCCCAACACCAAGCGAGGTAAGCACGTGGGACAATGCAATGGGACAATGTTTTGACAGTTCCGAGAATTGCCGATGACTCACTCACCCACTCATAGAGGGTAACCCATATTGGACCTGGATCAAAAATTATGCTGAGGACGACTTTCAAGATGCAGTGAGAAACGGAAAAGGTATAGTGACCGAATTTTTTTATTCGTGTGAATGGATGGACTTATGGGGTGTATCTATGAAATAGCACTCTTGGAAGAGCTTGCCGTTCATCATGTGTCGACCTCGCCTTCACGTTTCAAGGAAACTTGTGAAATCTTTGAGCAAGCCACGAGACTCGAAATTAAGTTCTGGGAAATGGGTCTTCATCGTAAATAGAAATGTAGAATAGTTTATATGTTGTATGTTGTTGTATATCTATCTAAACACTAGGTACTAAAGATGCTCTCCTCCGATCAACGGCTAAGCGTTTGAGATCTCCCTTAAGCCATAGAATGGGTAATGAGAAAAAGGCCATAATGCACACAGCAGCAATAAGTGAGTTGCGCATGTTGCCTGGTGGATCGGCTTCTGGTCCTGCACGTAATGCGTTGGCAATGACTGTGAAAATGAGCATGACGACCGTATCAAGGGTCCAAATGACATTGGATGCGATAGCCTCGGGCACCGGATATGACACTAAGGATGCATTAGGATAACCAAATACGACAACAAATGATGGTAAATATTTTTACCTTCACATGCATATTCCAGTTGCACAGGAAGCACGCCCATGGAGAAAAATCCAATCAAGAAGCAGATACAAATCAAGGGTCCGTATCCATTTTCAACGACTATTGTTTGTCATGGTGAGTCAACATACCAGAAATCTTTGCTTTCACCCGCAAACTTACTTTGGAAGATTAACATGACATAGGTAGCGACCACCATCGGTGTGAAAAGCTTGATGAACATGAGATGCTCGCCCCTTTGTCCAACAAAGTACCCCATCTTGTAAATAAAAATGATTAGATTTAAGCACATGCATGCATAGATGGAGGATAAATGTATACTCACAAAAGTACCGCCGACATAGCCAGCAATAGTTAATACGGCCATTGCGATGCCTCCTTGTTGATCCGTATAGCCGTAAGGCGCCGCGGCTTGAATGATAATCACAGAGATGGCATAAAACATGCCACAGTTGACTCCTGCAACAATGACAGTGCTGATGTATTGAAAGTTTTTGCAAAGCATTTTGACACCTTTCCAAATCGATGTTCTTGGTGCAGCGGCACTAGCTGAAGGAGGAACCTTTGGCAGCTTGGGTGTCAACAAGATGGGGACGGCACAACATGTGCAAATGATGCCAACGACCTTGAACTATAGTGAATGTGAGTGTTGCTGTGTTAGTCATAGAAGATTCTTAGGCTTCCAATATGATGCCTACCATCCAGGGAACATTTTCGACCGATGGAGCTAGGGGAGGCATAATCAATGGTGCCACAAGCATACCCAAAGAGATAGCTGCGGATCAAAAAGATGAGACGCACGTCCACTGCTTGTCGGTGTTTCGCTTTACTTACAGACAAATGTGTTGCCGATTGTACGATCTTGGGGTGCAAACCAAGTAGCGACAAACTTGAAAGGTGCGTGCATGTGTGAGGAGGAGGGCTTCATCATCATCATCATCAATACCTGCATCAACATACCTTTGGAGCAATACTATTATAGAATTGATGATGCATGATTAGTATCTTCACTTTGCTGATTGAATCAGGAGACAACAACGTACTTGTATGCGAATGGACCACCAATGCCACCAATGACTTGGCCAACCATAACGATGGTGTATCTCTTCTCTGGTGGAGCTGCAACGGCTGCATATCGGATCCATGCTCCAACCAAGTTGATGATCCCTGAAAAGGAAATCTATACCAGAACGTTTTAGATGATCTTTGTTCTAGATAAAACCAGCAGCATGGGTTTACTTACACAAGCCTTGATACCAAATTGTTCATAGGCCCATCCAGCTGGTAACGATAGCAACGTATTCACAATAGCGCATGCATTGGATAACCAGTTTAGCTGATCAAAGTCGATTTGCATCCACTCGGCTGACGGTGTGGGTGCACTGGAGCAAGTGGTCCACATAATGTTACAAGCAGCATTCACCAACATTATACTGACAAGGACAATCCAGGCCATGAATGGCGTCTTGTTGCTGTACTCAATCTTGTCTTCAATGACATGGTCATTGGGCAATGACGGCGACCGATTCTTGATACCCGAGGACTCCATACTATCCGGCGTTGACGTTGCAGTTGAAAGAGACTCTCCCTGCATGTTGTCGTTGGTCGAGGTCAAGCATTAAATAGATTTTAGCTTTTCAAGATCATCTCCATATATAGACAAGCTTGTGTACCTTACTGCCATCATAAAAAACGCGGGTAACAACGATACCACATCGCCGCCTGTAGGTTGTCATCTATTGTACTACCCATATTGCGTTTGGTCTTTGCAATGCTTTGGATGCTGGATCAAAGATCGCCTTATGAGAAAGTGGGGGGGGGTTGCTGCATATAAGAGTGCATGTGTCATTTAATCTGCTGCTGGGGTTATTGATGCAAATCCATCGACTGAATCCATTTACATTGCTATATGATACGTCTTCCACAAGCATGTATTCTTTGATTTACGTGATGTAGTGGGGTGCATCAGCTACTGATCCAACATCGTTAGGACTCGGGTAACACTTTCCTCTAGGGGAAGACAGCCATGGCTGCTTTGGAAAAGCAATCACCCGAATCGCCACTCCCGGAAAGATCCGCTCACTGAACGCACGGCTTCTTCTGGAAAACTTTTTCCAAAGGATATTAAATCAAGGAACATCCACTCATTCACATCATGTCTCATGTCGGGATAAACTTGGATAAGCTGGGAAGTTCTCATTGCTCTTTGTTTATCATTTGGTAGGTGTGATCGGCAATTTTCATGCACATCATAATGACGCAGCGTATTGTACCTTGCTGATTATGCTTGTAAGCTCATTCATAAAACAATGACTGCCCATTGATTGTTAAAGGTGCATGGTGGGGCAACCATAAACGGATGCTCCTTTTACAATATGAGTGATCCATGATAGCCTGAGAGCCTTACTTGGGAAGGCCATTCAAGACACTTTGAGTGCTACCAGAAACGCCACCTTTTCCACGACGTAGCATCAGGTATCCCCGCAACACCCTATTATCCTTTTTGTATATCTCTATGACAAAAGCCATGCGTATTGTTGGCGGGCACGTCATAGTAAATAGGTTCAATGTATTGTGCATAGATGAAAGCATGCTATTTGGTACGTACAGGCCGAGCTCGCACTAAAGGCATGATTGGTGACGTATGTTTTAATAAATCGACTTTTGGGCTTCTTCACTCAGCCATACTTTTGATCAATACCATAGTCGTTTATCCTGTGCTTCCTTGTACCTGATGTCTTGTACACCCACACCACCTTACAATTCGTCCCATTCTTTTACACTACTGGTAAATGATATCTATTACGTATACGACCAGCACCACCAATTCAATAAAAAAACATCAAAAGCTGATACGTCTCATGTGAGGCATGTAAGACGTGGTTTATTATCCGTGGAGGCGTGTTGTTGAGTAGTATTGTTGGATGTTGGTATTGAATAGCAACCATGTACCATAATCATGTCCACATAATTCGCACGCCAAGAATGTATGCTAACAAAAGGATTCAGCTGCCACTGTAATCATTCCATGTTGAGAAGAGAGCATCCAAAAGCAGTAGGCGAGTGAGCATAACGTCGGCGTGCACTGACCATGCTCCAGGTTAATGGTCAAGCTCGGAGCGTCAAATATTATGTGAAGACTTTTACCCCAACATCTGTTGTTACTCTTTAGTCCCCGGAGTGTATAGGCTCATCAAGACATGGCAATGGATGGATGGTTAAAGGTGTTTAGGAGGAAATAGGAAATTAAAACGTAGGCATACAATGCTGCAACAAGCCATATAATCCGTCATCATACATGTGGATCAAGTTTGACGGCCAACAATGAATCAGGGATGGGATTCTAAAAGTTTCAAAATAGGGGGCCACTGATGCGACATTGGATCAGCGACCCGAATGCTGGACAAGGTTTGGTTTTAAAAAGGGATCCCAAAACACGTCTTCTCTTTCCTCCTTTCCTCTCTTTAATCCCACAACCATGGCTGAATTAGATTATCTCGCCACAATCCCTGGTATTCCATTTCCTCAGATATACGAAACTATGATGGATTGGAAAACGCCTATCATTGCTGCCATTGCATATGAAGCAGGTGTTCAGGTACTATCAAGAATATTTGGTTCCTCAGCAACCTCCTTATCACGCGTGGAGGCGAAAAAACGCGGCGACCAAACCGCACGCAAATCAAACCCCTTGATGACAGCCTTTTGTCTGGCACATAATATGGCTCTTTGTATTTATTCCGCTATCACATTCTACAACATGGTGAAAGGATTGCATAAGGCAAGGACACGAGATGCACCGTTATTTGACCGGGTAAGTTATAGAAAAGGAAATGGATTACAGCAAAAGGCACAAGGAGTGGGATCGGATGAAGGGGGTAGCAGAAAGGTTATTCTGATGATGGAAGGGGACTTGCATATGCGTGTGTGTTGTATATACCTCAACCCACTAACGTATCATCTACCCCATCGCTTTTGATGTTTGGCGGAAAAGGTGTGCGACCTAGACGAGTTCTTTTGGAGAGACACACTTGCCTATTGGGGATATCTATTTTATCTCTCAAAGTACTATGAAATGGTGGATACAATTATCATTGTGCTCAAGGGACGTCAACCATCATTCCTACAACTCTTCCATCATGCTGGTGCTTTGATCACCATGTGGGCTGGAATCCGCTATCGTTGCACTGCTATTTGGATGTTTTGCACGTTCAATTCGTTCATTCACACGGTCATGTACTTTTACTATGCAGCGACCACTGTTGGCCTTCATCCTCCCGGCAAACAATACTTGACATCGATGCAAATCATCCAATTTGTGGTGGGCGTGTCACTTGCTTTGGCATACTTGTTCTATCCTGGTTGCTCTAATTCGCCAGGCCAACGATTTACGCTCAAGATCAACATCATATACGTCACATCCCTGGTCGGATTATTTGCCAACTTCATGCGTAAGACGTATGGTCGCTCTCGGAAGGACTCCAAAAAAGAACAACTAAAAAAAGAATAAGAAGCACCGACAACATTGCAGCATGGCGTGATTCGATGCCGATTGATTACGCTTTTTATCTTCTGGAGATATCACTCACTTGCTTCAAAGAGCAATAAAAAAGCAGCTATAGTAAGGATACCATAGACCTTCAGCTTGTACAGTGACATCTTTGGGTGGATTTTTTTTCATGGTATCCATGTAACGCAAAAGCGGCACTATTCTTGAATGTGACACAAAACCTAATCTCAACGCCAGATGCACGACACAGGTGTATGCACACGCTCGTATCAACGAGAATAGTAATAGGGATCTAATGATACAACATGATTGAAAGTTTTGTGGGACTTGTAAGCTATGTATTGGTGTGATGTATTCGTGGATTGGACATGGTGGTAGTAACATCATTTGCCGTCAACGGCATTATTGTGTGATATGAAGGTCTTCGATACATAGGTCTTTTAGACTAGAAAAGGGGAAGACTTGCTTGCAGCATCAATGTTGCATGGCAAACCATAAATAGGGAATGTCTGTTGCAGTGCATACATAGCTCCTTTGCCATGCTTGGGCAGCTGCACCACTCGATGTAATGATTGGTTTTTAGATTTGTGAGCGTACATCCAATAGCCTGCAAGTGAGCCGGGTAATAGCAGAAGCGTCGACATCGATATGCATACATAGGGTCAGGTTGTACCGGACGTTTTGTACCAGCACGTTGCTAGGTAAAATTTACGTTGATCACAGCGTACCTAAAAGTCACGAGTGGACGTAAAATAGTTATTAGATACCATGGTTCTTTATCTTTATGCAAAGCGCATTTCTCGAGGAATAGAATCTTGAAGCGTAACGCTCCAATCGATCCTACCGTCAACATGCAAACATTACTTAGAACCTTAAGCCTCGGGATTTGAATCAAAGAAACGAAGAAGTATGGTATCTTTATGTTTTCCTACGCTGTAAGAGTGATGCTATATGGAAAGTGATCTTTGTTCAATGTCTCGTGGCCAGCCGCTAATAGAGCTAAAGATGCAGGAGGAGCTTGCTTGTGTAACACAGCTGGCTGGATAGGACTGGAAGGGTCAATCCTCCTATTGGTGGAGAATGCATGATTGACCTTCGCCCTGGCTTGCATGTAGTAAGGTCCGCCTATTATGGTAGCCCGTATGAAATGGTTTGTTCGCACATAAGGTTGCATGCGATAGCGTAGGTAATCATAATGTGTTCATGTACTCATGCCACATTGTATCACAGCTCACTCTTTCTTGAACATATGAACTAAGCTTACAATTAACCATGCTTTCTTTGAGGTGACAAGCAGTATTGTTGGCTACCATCATTCTCGAATTTATTATCTTTTCAGCACAAGTATTCGAGGATCTATGATGCTTTTCGTCTACTACCACACACCATGTAGGAAGCTTTAACGAACGATACACCCGATGATGCAAACGATCCCATCCCCCTTCCCGAACTTCAAATTTCCGTCTCCTCTTTCAATCCAAGTGATCCGCGTCTTGCACAATACAAGCTAAATGTACGATACCCTCTCAAATAACATGTTGAACCCAATTTTCATTCAATGGAAGTCGAAGAATAACTTAATTGTAGGTAGGATGGATGTTTATGAAGTAAGTAAGATAAGGGAACAGCATTTGGGATTAAATAAAATACGGAGTGGTGAATCACATAGAGACAATAGGGGCGAATGTGTCATTGTATTCTTGGTTGTTGCTTGCATAAACATCCTCCATCCATGATTGCTAACTGATGCGTGCATTGACTCGAGTATTCCAATACCGTGCAAGGCTGTAAACTCCTTCTTTGATCAATTCCATCTCATCCATCATCCTCATCCTCAGCCATATCCACATGACATGATCCATAGTCCCTGCTGACAACGCGTCAAATAACCACCATGGTTCATACTCGCATCCATCCATCCACCATAACCATTCCACATCCAATGTGTTGGTAGAAAGAAGCCCCAGAGATCGCTGCTGATACGCTTCCTTGCCCATCGACCCTTGGTCTCCATGTTTCTTGTCGCTTTCCATCACAACTCATCCAGCCGAGGGTTGCTTGTATTGCGGCGTGGTTGACGGCTGATATGGCGACATCCAAACTTGACGCACATCATTAATGGGCCAAGGGAGCCAAACCATGCAATGTATCCATTCCTTCCATCGCATGCACCAAAGCAATCTTGAGGCCCATATCCATATCCATAAGAAGTTGTATGTATTGAAGTATGTCGTACACGTAAATAAAGCTGCTTCTATACAATGGCTATCTGCTGTACACGTGAACAAGGCTGTAAGACAAGTTGTTGCAAGGGAAGAACGATGTTGGAGACAATGGAGTAAATGCCCTTGCTAATAGCAACTGCTGCAATGAATGCTGTTACGATTGGTCGTGGCAGACGAGTGTGCAAGAGAGTGTGTTGTGTCAAGAGACTCGTGTGTTGTGGAAGAGAGACATGAAGGCTGTGTACGGGCCATGGACCTGCCATTCAGTCAAAGACAATCGGATCAAGGCTGTTATAGGATTGACATGATGGGTTGGAGCAGGACAATCGTTTGCAGGTGGTAGTTGTATACATGAATGAGCAATAGTTGAGATTGCGAAGAAGAGGCAAGGGGCTGAGAGTGGAAGAAGTGGGAAATCAAGTAGATTGAGATGACATTTTTTTATTTGACCGTTGCCTAGTCAAACCCTCTCGGGCCAAGAATGATGAAGGTTGGGATGATGGATCGAAACAGGAGAATAGTTCATATGCGGTGGATTGAGCAACGATTTTAAATGGAAGGAAGAGGCTATTAGTTGGCGTTTTATGACCTGGAATTTGGACAGGGTACACTCATCATGAAGCATTGTTGTTCGCTGCCGCTAACAACGTTTCATTACAGCGATAGTCTCTAATTGCAAATATGGATGGGCAAAAGATTGCAAGTTCCTGTAAAGATGGATACTAGTAGAAGGATTGTAGTATGGTTGCATAAACATGCAAGCTTATTTTAAGATGGTTACTCCACCACAGGTAGTGTTAAGCCATTCAAAATCACAGTTTACGGGGGAAGCCAGTCATTCATCATTTTTGTGGGGATGGATAGAATATGCTTTATCAGATGGAAATAGCGATTGACACGGCTGTGAAGTAAATGGCTGATCGATCCTTTTGTTATGCTCAAATGGTTTAAAGCACGTGTATTGTTGCGTACGTTGTGATATCATTGGAGCGTATTTTGGTTATGACGTGCTCGCAACGATGATAATGTGAGATAAGGTCCCAAGTACCCGGTGGTAATTGATATGCGTGATGATTGATGCCTCGATTGATCATCAATAGTAGAGGAGTGCAAAGATTTCTAAGCTGTTGGTAATAGGTGATTAAGGAGACAAGGGGCGAGATTCCAGCATTTGGGGTACAGCTTATCAAGCACTGACAAAGCTTCCCTTGCTTAGGTGGGACGAGCGGAGATTTGTCAAAGCTTACACATATTATCGACCGCTCGGGGATACCTCCAGCGTATATATAAATCATGCTCGCGAAATACGTGTATCTTCATTCTTCACTACTACTCCTCCACACATACATCCTACAACAATGGCTCCTAAAGTTCACATGTGAGTATCGATTCTACGTCATGTACGCCTTTACTCATATCGTATCGTATCAACAGCGTCTTCTACTCCACCTACGGTCACGTCTACCGCCTTGCCCAAGAAGTCCAAAAGGGTCTTGAAGCTGTTGGTGTTGAAGCTAAGCTCTTCCAAGGTATTCTTTATCAGCAACCATAACATGTTTTCCTCGTATTAAAACATGATCTCTTTTTTCTTTAGTTGCCGAAACCCTCTCTGATGAGATCCTCCAAAAGATGCACGCCCCTGCCAAGCCTGATGTTCCTGTCATCACCGTTGACGACCTCAAGGAAGCTGATGGTATCTTGTTCGGCATCCCCACTCGTTTCGGTACCATGCCCGCTCAAATGAAGGCGTAAGTAGGCAAATCTTCCTCATCCAATAATAGCGTGTACTGACATACTCCGTTTCATTTTATCAGATTCCTCGATGCTACTGGTCAATTGTGGGCCGCTGGTGGTCTTGCTGGCAAGTTCGCTGGTACCTTCTTCTCCACCGCCTCCCAACACGGGTATGTATAGCTATTTTGTTTCAACCATACAGATGTATTAACATGCATTTTAAATAGTGGTCAAGAAACCACCGCTCTTACCGCCGTCACCTTCTTTGCTCACCACGGCATGATCTACGTGCCTTTCGGTTTCGCCAACACTGTAAGTATTTCATTCGGAGATGAATGCGAGGAAACACAGCTGCAGCAAAGTTCTGACACTTTCTTTAATCATGCAGCATCTCTTTGACAACTCTGAGGTCGTTGGTGGCTCTGCCTATGGTGCCGGTACCGTTGCGTAAGTGGATTGGATTGGTATATGGAATGCATTCAAGGCATGTTCTAATGACGTATGATATATAGCAACGGTGATGGTTCCCGTCAACCTAGCGAGAAGGAATTGGCTATTGCCAAGAACCAGGGTGAGAACTTTGGCAAGACCGTCGCCACCTTTGTCAAGGGCAAGACCGCCTAAACAAGCTAGAAGCGATATAATACCAAATAAAGCCAATTCTCCCAACCAACAATAGTATCTGCTCAGTGAATGAATACGATTGGGTATAGTGATTGAGGATGCCTAAATACGCTATGGCAAGGTTCTTGGTGCTCTTTATCTTTGCAACAAAGCATCATCATCAGGGGCAGTGGCTGCATTTAAATAGCCTTGCTTCATTGTGGCATATGCAGCAAGTCTCATGATGACGATTAGCTGCAAATATTTGGCAGCTTTGGGATGCTTGTTTGTATTGGCCGGTTATCTTATTCAACATGATCATGCATTTTTTCAACATCATTCTCGCTTATCTCCTCATGGCATCGCACATGTGCATGATTGTTCACGCAATCAATAACCTCCTTCATATGCATACCAGCGTGTTTGCTATACCGCCAACTACACTTGAAATCGTTGGCAGGGAGGAACCCAACCAAAGGCACGAGGTTGCCATGATACGCATTGACAGCTGTGTGTGGATACCATTGGTTACTCAAAGTGGCTCATGCGTTGTTAAAGATGAATGGTATTACCATGCGTGTTGATCCTGGATCCATATTGCACAATAGTGCTGAGCCCTGAGTCAATTATAGAACATGGTAGTATAGATGGGCGTTTCTAAGAGACAACACGTGTATCATTGCGCATAGCACATTATCGTATACATGACCTTTTCAACCTCTTACGTGAATCACTGTTTATGTCAATGATCATATGACAGGCAAGCGCAGTAAATGTCAATGGGAATGCAACCCATTCATTAATGTTTTGGATTAGATGCATATGCGAAAAATTTGCATTCACGTTTGACAACGGCATTCGTATGATGAAAATGATAGGCACAGGAGTACCTTGAAGGTGGACGCTTATCATTTAGAAAGAAAGAAAAAACCATGCTGGTAAATGATGTATGGTGACCCTATTTTTAGGGGCGACAAAGTCAGATGCTGTTGTTCGGCTTCCGGAAAGTTGCATTTCCTCTGTACCGAGTTGACAATATTTTGCCTCTACCCGCGCCTCATTGTAGTTCCTTTCTCTTTCCGCTTTCTTTTTTTCTCTCTCGCCTTTATCATCCCGGCTTGCTTTATTAGCGCGTCGTTATCATCAGCATGTCAACCACGGATGATTATGTTGCGACTACACGCACCAACGACGAGTCAACACCAGGTGCCACAACACCAAATGACACATCGGATCATGATACAGCCTCTCCTTCACCAACCGAAGAAGAATCTACAAATACCCTATCACCCTCATCCCCAACTATGGCACCTGATGAATCAAACACAGAGGTGGATGATCCAATTGATAGCACATCATCTCTTGATAATCCAAGCCCAACCACTACAGAGGACGTTGAGCCAACAACATCGACAACTGACAACCCAAAAACATCATCAAGCGACCCTGATGCACCATCCGCTTCAAACACAACATCAGGTAACATGGGTGACTGCATACTATTTTGAGAGGGATATGGAAAGAAATACATAGCACTCAAAAAATAGCACACACATCCACTTTCAGACACCAGTGACACTGTAACCAGCAATTCGGATCCACCACCTACAAGTGATGGGAGTGAAGCATCATCCACAACATCCGATCCTCCGATTACTAGCAGCAGTGATTCTCTTGAACCAAGTAGTACCACATCTAGTGATAGTGAACCTCCATCATCAACATCTCAAACACCTGATCCTAGCAGTGATACTCCTCCTCCTTCGCAAACCAGCAATGCTAGCGATAGTGGAAGCATTGAACCAACAAGCACACCACCTCCTACTGATAGTAGCTCGACCAACATTCCTCCAAGCCAATCTACAGATAGCAATGAGCCAACGTCTTCCGATCCAAGTAGTAGCAGTGATATCCAAACACCCACAACCACAAGCGATGACGTCTCAACAACCTCAGCGGAGGAGCCATCATCATCTACGACATCCTCATCATCCACTGAATCAGCATCAACTAGTGATCCTATAAGCACCACTACCACAACATCCGATGTACCACCATCAACGACAAGCCCTCCTCCTGAAACGAGTACAACCACAAGCATACCATTACCACCATCCACAACCACAACTACGGAAGACATTACTACCACTACCACTACTACTGAAGAAACGAAACCAACAAGCACTACCACAGATCCACCTCCTCCTTCGGAAACGACACATTACGTTACAACAACAAGCTATATCACGACATCTACTGTCATTGTCACCAATGGGCGTACCGAGACTGTTGTTACCACCATACCTACCCTGTAAGCTGACAACAAATATGCATCTCGTCATTTCGCTTATATTTATTTATGCATTGATAGCATTGTTACACCTTCTTTACCAGCTGAATCCCAAACAATCAGTGGTGGCTCAACGGCTGACACAGGCACGATTGTTGGTAGTGTGATTGGTGGCGCTGCTGGGTTAGGTATCATTATTGCAGGTCTCGTTTTTTGGATGAGAAAGAGACGACAAAACCAACGACCACGATCCATCCCTCTTGAAATGACCAGCCACTATGAAGATGACTTTTATGGCGATCCCTATCGATATTCAATGGCCACCCGAGGAAATGAGTATGGATGGGGCAATACAAGCAACAATAGCTCAGCTCCAGCTGTGGTCACCTATGATACGGGTGTTGAACAATCACCATGGCAACATCCATCATCATCACCACCGCCACCACGTGTTGATGTGCCTCATTATAGAGACTAACAACAACATCTACCACATTTGTAAAATAATCATGTACGATACTCAAAATAAAAGTGACCTCGTTTTGCATTGCATCAAAATCAATTATCCAGCCAATGTTAACAATGTAAGTAAAGCATATCCATGTTTGTATTGCCATAATATCATTTCTACTTTGCTCCACCTAATCTTCTTCCGTGCCCGTGTTTGCATCTGGTGGCAAGCCATCATCCTCTGTATCAAAGAATTACATCCTTTAGCGTCCTTTACGTTGTACCCTTTGATCCAATGCGCCTCCTTACCTCGCCTTCGATATAGTGTAATCTCTTGCTGCTTGTAATATCGTCGATTCTCCTCGTCATAAAGCACCAAATTCAAGTAATACCTCACCGAGAACCTCTTGTTAATGTCTAAGGAGACCACAATCAGCGACCTACATTCGATATCCAACGACACAAAAGCCCAACTTTACCTCTGAATGTGGGGGTAAGGTCATATCCACCCAAGAACAACCTGATGGGAATGATCTCACCTGTGTATTAAATGGGTATATGAGTTGCATGATATCCAAAGAACAAGCATTTCACCTACCGCGTACGGGTGCTCCATCCATGATTTCGAATTTGCTCACTGTCTCACTCTCGTTGTAGGTATTTGGGGCTACACGTATCCACATCATACGTTAAACCTCTTTTTCAATGTTGCCATCCATCATCCATATCCAGTCCACTCACCAAAGCCAGTCGTCTCACGGCGTACAATGCATAATTCCATGTGCTTGATCTTGATACGCACCAATAAGAAGAAGATCTTGCCGACAATGACATCTTTCAGGTGGTATCTATATAAAATCGAGAAGCTTGTATTAGCAGACGAGCAACGAGCACGTGATGTTACTTGTCCACTTGCGTTGATTTGTTGTATTCGAATTCAATGTGTAAGCAATCTTCGATGCCGACTTCCATTTTGATTGAATGTGGATCATCCTTGGGTTCATGATAAGATCGAACGAGTAAATCGGATTCACGGATCATGTTCCCCATCCTCCTCGCCACGATGACGCGTATAAAGTATCTATCATCATCACCCTATTGTAAGCCTACCAACAAGCAGAGGGCATTGGGTGTTAAGAAGCATACCTAAGCTGTACGTTGATACCATAGTAGCATTCATACTGCTTTTCCACGTTTCGAAATTCAAAGTCCATTGTTGTATTCTGCCGTATCTCTCCAGGCGCTGCCAATTCTTGTGATAGACACTGAAACTCTTTGCTTTGAGACGAGTCATTAAGGACAACTAGAGCGTGTATGTATGTGACAATGCGCATGAGCGAGATGGCCAACATGGCACGCATGGATACCCCTTACCAATGGCACCAACGCATTCGACGCGAATCCCATTGTGTTCCAAACGTTTACCGTGTCCCACCCTGACCAACACCTGTTTCAAGAAGGAGAACCACCACCCCTTATCAGCAATTCATTGTGATAGTTATTTCCTCTATCGCTCTTTATACCTTTCCTCGTACGGGTTCTCTGTCAAAATAAAGTGGAAGTCTTTCGCGTGGTTGAGATCGATTGATTGCGATATCAAAGGTGCGACGTTGTTCAGCGTCGTCCAACTGGATCTTGACGTCAGCAGGAGCAGATAGACCAAACAATGACTAGTAGAATAAGGTTGTTAGAGAATAAAAAAGAGTGATAAATAAAGGATTATACTTGCAGCAACTGACATCCTGGGATATATGGTAAAAGGATGGTAAAAAGAAGAAAGAAAAGAAAAGGAGAAAGTTGCCGGAGGAGAAAGGCGGAGGCAAAGGCGCTGTCATGCAACATTGAAGGTTGCACACACACACACACACACGACGACGTACATCTCTCAGGTACTTCCGATTTTCAACGCGTTTATAAAAGACGCTTCTCTTTTTTATACTTAGCACGACCCCCTTTGAGGAATGCGATAAAGGGGCTATTTGACGTAATAATGAGGATCACATCTATTATTGTAAGGCACCCATGTACACATACACACTGCACCCGGGTCATCGGACCAGCTTCCTTACATCCTTCCGATTGTAATATTAACTTTTCTTCTTCTTCAGACGTAAAGCTGTGCCTTTCTTCATATGTCAACCTCTTTTCGACTGCCTTTTGGTTATAACGGTGCTCCCCCTTGGCCATCACTCTATTGGCCTTTCAGTCCTGATTTCGTTCCACTGAATCTCATTGCTGATGTGCCTCATTCTCTTTTTTACTTGAACGGTAATACCTTGTTGGCTTCTTTGATCTCTCTATCCTCAATGATCCCATCCTTTAGATATATGGAGATTCACTGTTGTATGGTCAATTATCTTCGCACTCGTCGTCTACCTACCGGCTGGTAAGCATCATGGATCAAAGAACGAGTATCGAGGTATATCAAGGTATGTTGTTGATCTGCTGTTGTTATGTAGGCATGTGGGCATTTATCACCTTGGCCAAAACAAAGACATTTCGATGGTACATCCTGATGACGGTTCCTTTCATATTCGTGCTAGGAGGATCACTCGCATCGTTTGTAACAGGAAGTATCATAGGCAAGTACTACTAGTCATTACGCGGTGGTGACTATCATCTCAATGCTAATAATCACGCGACGATGCATATGATCATCATGTTACATAGGCGTGGCACTGGCAGTCATCTACAACTCGGGGTTCTTTGTAATGTCAACTTGGATCCCATTTCTTTGGGCACTCACACATATCTTGGTCGTGCTGGTGGGAAGTTACTCTACTATAACCACGGTTCTTTAACTATCTGGAGCTGGTCTCTTTATCATCTACTACGTACACATTCATTTGTAAAACATTATTTTCGTGGCATCATCCAATAACAAGTCTATCACTATCACTATCACTACCACATGTCTTTCACTTGATGAGAAAAGGCAATCAATGATTACGTCCTTTTATTGTATCTCGATTGTATCTCGATCCAAAACGTTCTTTACATGGTACTTGGTTGGGTGCATAATGACTACGTATTTTCTCTCTCATGCATCGATCCAGGAGTAACACCGCGTGGTACACAATCAAATGTCGGCCTCTTCTTTCTCTCTTTACTTTTCACACCCATGAGCTTCGAATCGCTGGCAGAGTCCTTGGGCCAACTTGGCGACAAGTTTGGAGATCTACATAAGCAAATGGAGGATCTGAACGACGTGAACGACTCCCTGATCCGATTCAACAAGGCATTTGGGGCTTTTCTATTTGGCATGCAAGCAACGTCCACATCGCTCGAATGGCCTGAAGTAATACCTCCATCACGACCACCACAATCGCTATAGATTAACACGTCCTTTGTTTTATCTAGGCACCCGTAAAGTCTTCGTTCCAACTTGTTCAACAACCAGGTAAGTAGTTGTCTATGTATCCATGTTGTTCCTTTGTTGACGTTTTATGCTGTGAGCATAGCCCAATCTTCATCATCAAAGATACCTCGATTCCAGCAACGAGCACAGAAACAAACAACATCAGGCACCAAGTTCCTTGTCAAGGTAAGGAGGAATGGCTTGCATACTACATCTGCCTATATCTTAACACGATCATTAGATCAATCCAAGCGTGATCATTCAACATCTTCCATTAAAGTTCCGAGAGCAAACAGTGAGTGGATCCCATTGCTTCATAAAAGGATGGACATTAACCGATCTCTCAGGAACATACTCGCAACATGCAGAATGTCATCAAGGCCCTCGCCAAACACCCTGATGGCGTGTAAGTATACAAACAAACTTACCCGTGTAGCTATCTGAAATTGACACAATGAACACAAAGGAACATGCCAACTATGGTCAAGGAGACAAAATTACCCAAGCACAAGGTCACTGAGTGCCTGAATGCTCTTTTACACAGCAAGGATGTTATCAAGCAAAGCCAACGGGTAATTGTGGATAAGGATGGGGTCGATATTGCATGCTCAACATCATCATTTTTCTTAGAATCAACTTTCTCTTTACCGACTTGAGCCATCGCGATATCCAACAACATCATAGTTATCATCGTCAGCTTCCAGCCACATTCCCTTTGCTCTCGCTCTCTCATCACTCAACCTTTTTTCAACCCATTTGCTATAAACAATGTAAATATTTGCTGGATCATCATCATCATCATCATCGATAATGGGTATGTCATATTTCTTGATCGGCGGGGACATTGATGCTTGGATAGGGTGAGGGGTACCCTGCTTTGTGGTGGAGTTCAGCTATCCGTTCCCTTAAGCGACGATTGCGACGATTCAAGTGATGGATGTATTCTGCAGCTTTGAAAAGGATGGTGCTCTTGTTGATATTGGATTCTTGCAGACCAGGCACAAGTTGGGTCATGTCATTGAGTGCTGCACGGATGGTGTTACGTCGCTTTTGTTCAGAAGCTGTGTGGTTTGCTCGTTTCTCGACTTCATTCAAGATCTTCTTGATACGTTTGGAGGTGGAAGAGGAGAGTGAGACACCATCTTCATCATCACTACTGCTGCTGATACTGGATTCTCTAAGATGCAACGACAAAAGAGAGGAGGATCTTCGTTTCTTGGTATTCTCATGGTATTCCTCGGTATATGGGATATGGATGGCATCACATTGGAGATAATCTGTCACCAGTTAATTCGTATTGATATGATTACTTCGTGCTATGTGGATATCGGCATACCAGGCTGGAGCGAGGATGCGTCATGAGGGATGATGATGGTTTTATCCATGATGTTGGTTGCATGCAAAAAGAGATTGAAAGGTACCAAAAAGGATGTGCAAAAAAGTCAATGCGTATTATATACATGACACGGATCATTTTTCCGAGATTGCCACAGCCAAGGAGAAAAGAGCTTGATGCAGGGGAAATTCGGGAGCAAATAGATTCCGTAATTGTCCGTGGATGCTAGCCCTTCCTTCATTTACCCCGCACTTTGAAAGGAATCATGTAAGTGGGACTCTCTAAATGGCTGATCGGTTCATTGTTACCTTCCTTGTTTTCTCACAGCCACATTTATATCGATAATGATTGCAGGTTATTAAAAGTGCCGCCTCCTTCGAATCGATTACTATCGTCGTCATATCACAACAGCCCCATTATTACTGCATGACATCAACAACCTATCGATAAACCTTACATACATACTCGGGTCACATGTACGTTATTTACTCTAACCTATGATGCAAAGAGATATCTAATCCAATGACTCCATATATGAAAAGTAGTAGGCTCAACTCAGTGAGTAGGGCCATTTGATGATTGCAGCAATCTTCAACTTGCGCCGAATATGGATGTGTGATTACAGCCAATGTGATGGTAAGCCTGGTGGATACGTTACTCCAAGTGATATGCTGCTCACTATCTTATCTTCGATTCATAGCAAGCCAATCGCAAAGTGAGGCATTTTGATCGGGTGGTAAAAGTTGCTTGAAAAGCTTTGGTTGCTGGATTACCCCATTGTAAGTATGGACCAATTTTCGTGTTGGGGCATTATGCAAGCAGCTCTATTGGATTTTTCCTAATGTTTGCTTGGCGCGTAGTACTTCTTCAGGAAGCCGTTCTTTCACCCTCATGCGGGAGATGTTGTGGCCTAGGCCATTTACGCTTGTGCACTATGCTTATCGATTACGAAGATGCAAACGACTTTTTTTTTGAAACGAAGACGTACATGGACATTCTCGAACAGCGTCATATTTCGTGGAACTTGAGCACAGCAAAAACTGATTTGAGTGATGACATTGTTGGATGACCTTATTTATGCATGCACAATCAATCACACCAAGGCTCTCTGTGAAGGCTCCTCATCGATCTATCAGCTCATCACCATTCTTAACAGCCATTTTATCACTCTTTGTGGTCGCAGAAGTACCCACGCCCACCATGCAGCTATAAACAAGATGAATGTTGTCGCCCATCGTTCTACTCCTACACATCTCTTTCTTTCCATTATCGTATCACTCTTTGATTGCTGACACCTTCAAATCCCTTGGTAAGTACCATGGTGGATATGCCTCTTTGTGGATGATCCATGTACTCATATTTGGACGATCGTTAAGGTTTCATTGTTATCCTCGTACTCCCATTTTCCTTGTTGCCATTGTGTTTTTGGCTCATTTAATAAGGTAAAACCTAATCATCTCGCTTGATGAAATACAAACCTTACATTCCTTTTGATGTAGCTACCTCCAAAGATCATCTGCAAAATTGAATCAGGTGTACTACATACAGCCCGCATGGTGTTGATATACCGATTTCCCTTTGGCACAGCAACGTTTGGATTTCATCTTACGAAACTTGAACGATGGATCGGATTACTTGTCATCTGAGGAAAAACCCAGCCATGGAGACACCAAAAATGATACCAGCAAAGCCAAAAAGCTGCGTAACCATATGCTGCAACTATGGAAGAGCAAACTTGGATCGACAACGCTGGCAAAGGAATTGGAAGCTATGACTTGCCAATGGAAGGGAATCTATCTGATAATCTATGGCACAAGGATCGTCGACAAAATTTGATTCTATCTTTTGTGAAGAGACATGTTACCATCCCGCCGGTGAGTGGACACCTTGCTGCAGCAGCACAAGTACTCATGGCCATGTTGTCATTGAAACAAAAGGCAACAATCAACTGTGTACGATTTGCAGCAATGTTGGAGAAGCAGTGGATTGAAATCGAGATGTTATGCGATGAACACGACTATCTACGTGAAGACTCTGTTGAGAGGTCGTTCGAATCGATGGATGATTCAATGGGTCAATAAGCTGTGGAGCGGATTTTGAGAAGATGCAAAGAAGTAAAGGCACCTGAGGCCCCTGTCAGTTGTCACGATTGGGAGAAGATCCTTGTGAATGGCGAGAAGCCCATAGCAATCGATCGTAAGCGACAAAGGCGTGGTGCCGCATGACGTACATTATTGTTATAGCTTTCAAATACGTAGCCTTATGTTAGCTGCTGTATCCTTTGTAAATCTATTTATTGTGTGCTGTATAGTAGTATTTATTCATTCATCCTCATGCGTTATGATAATGATTGTTGCCAAAGATTATAATGTTGTATTAGCCATAAGTGAGAATAGAGGGACGCCATGCATAAATGACAGGCATGCCAAAGTGAGAAATACAAGATGCCAAGTAAGGAACACACTCTTCCAAGCTAAGTTTAATTGTGGCCATTATGAAGTGTGTTATTCTCTCAATGCCAAACAATAGGTGTTCGTGTGACGCCAAATGAAAAAGATCAGGCACCAAACATAAAATTCAACAATGTTGATCTTGGTGATGATGGAGGGTACACAAAAGAAAAGTTTCCCAACAACAAGAGCACGCGGCATTTGACAAGTCTTGTGCACCAGCATCACTTTCAGCTGAAAACGTGGAGATGACGCACCAAAATCGGACCCTTCCACAATATCTGAAACCCGACGAGAGAGTTTTGTCAGCACGCATATGATCATCACATTCGGTTTTGGTTGCTGTCTTTTTTTCAGTGTTCACCCCGCTTCTTCATTCTTTCACCTCTTCTTTCACTACACAACCATGTCCGTTGACACTTTTAACCGTTTCCTTGCAACCACTACGGGTCGTGAAAAGGCCTGTCGTCTCGTTCAATACTTTGCTCGCTTCTATGCCTTTTATCTTTTCCGTAGCGGTGCACCCAAGGAGGCTATTCAACGTTGGAATGATCTCAAGAGCCATATCGGTAACGCTCGCAAGTTCTTCCGTCTCTTTAAGCAAGTTGAATTCGCCACCACTGCTGTCAAGAGCATGAGCATCCAAGATGAAGTTGTGCGTGCTACCAGCGTGCTTAAGCAGGTTGGCATGTTCTTCTACTATGGTACCGAAGCTCTCAATTTGGTATGTATGATGGGGGTGGTGGCGGCAAAGAAGAGATGGTGGGGAGAGGCAGTGGTGAACTCACACACAAAGTCTATATAGGCCAATGCTATCAAGTTTTACAAGTTCTCCAATATCAAGGACATTCAACGTCTTGGTTTCAAATGCTGGTTGTTTGCATTGACTATGTCCATCATCACCAGTATCCACAAGTTGCGTGGATTGCACGTTCGTGAAGCCATGCTTAACAAGAACGAGAAGGCTCCCGAAGCCGATGCTAAGGCTCTTGTCAAGTAAGTATAGAAAAGAGGATGACAAGGGGAGGACGTTGTATGTTAAACAAGAGTCAATAGGGAAAAGAAGGGACTTCACAAGCAATTATTGCAAGATGTTGTGGATGCCATCATCCCTGTTGCTGGTCTCAACATTATCGGTTTCGATGAAGGCATCGTTGGTCTTGCTGGGTAAGTTTTTTACAAATTCTCCCCGGTTGTGCAACCTTCCTAATCTCTCACTTTTAGTATGACTACCTCTTGGTTGGCTGTTACCTCCCAATGGCAAAAGGTTGCTTCCAAGTAATTCCCCATCTAGACGATCTCACTATTTCCTACTCCTCCTCCTTCACCCAACTTGCATCATCCTAGTCTTGCATATCCTGTACACGTCTCCTCCAAAAAACGGTACCATTGTTTATAAACACACTCACACGTGCTTCTCATTCTTGATTCACGTGCAGCTTTTTATTTTATCATGCAAAGGATGCTATTCGCAGCAGCTTGTCATTACTTCAGGGACCGTGTCACACAATCCAATCGTGTACATTTTCTTAGTCGTTCAATACCCACGGGACTGTAGACCCATACTGATGTTTATCACAATGCGAATATGAAAGCGTATGACTCAAGGACATCCGAAAAGTAGTGTTGGATGATTGATGGATGAATGATCTTCATATTTTATAATAGTTGTGATATTGATGGAACAAGCAGGATACACTGAGTGGGTTACCAGCATTGGGCGGTATTGTGGATGTGTCATGGAAACGGAGCGTGGGCAGTTGGCAGGTCCATATAGGTAGTGATGGTACACAAATGCCTATCCACGTTATGTAAAGGATTTTCTCATCGCTCACAAGACTTTGGCGTAAGGGATACCTGTATAAATAAACAAAACGGCATGGGATCGTCTCCATTGCTTTACCCGTAGCAATAACTATCATGGTCGCTGCTGACAACAATAATCAGCCTACTCGTTTTCCTCCGCTTGCACCCAAGTCCCCTTCTGGTGTCGACCTTCTTGCAGCAGAGAGAAGGAAATCAAGCTTCAATGTAGACTCAATGACCAAGTTCATCTACCCAGATGGGTGGCTCGACAGAATGCATAAGGTGCTTGCTGTCATCGAAAAGGATCCGGCATTCGACAAAACCATGCGCTACTACCAGAATCGCTACGAAGGAATGCGACAAGCTTACGCCAAAGAAAAGCGCATCCGTCAGTTATCTACGTATGTAATTGAATGTCCCTTTTTGTTACACCAATCATGTACTCAACTTTCTTTATATGTAGCGAGCATGGATGGGATGATATGGATAGAAGCATGGCTAATTTTCTTTATGATGGCGTTTCACCGGTATGAAATAAGGATAGGGTGGGTATATGGTGATAGGCAGCAATGGCTCATTGTGGGGTTTTTCATGTAGTTCTCAGTACATCACAGCATGTTTATGACAACCTTGCGCAATCAATGCAACGACGAGCAACGTAAATTGTTTTATGAGCCTGCGACGCGACTTGAGATCATTGGTTGCTATGCACAAACTGAGCTTGGTCATGGATCCAATGTGCGTGGTTTGGAGACGACAGCTACCTACATCCCTGAGGACAACGAATTCGAGATCCATTCGCCACACCTTACGTCATCCAAATGGTGGATTGGTGGATTAGGCAAGAGCGCCACTCATTGTGTCTTGATGGCTCGGCTTATCATTCATGGCAAGGATCATGGCCCACACCCATTTTGTTTCCAAATCCGAAGTCTCAGGGATCATAGGCCATTGCCTGGTATTACGGTGGGCGACATTGGACCGAAGTTGGGATACAACAGCAATGACAATGGCTTTATCCTCTTTGACCATTTCCGTGTACCTCATATCTCGCTTCTTGCCAAGTTTTCTCAAGTCAAACCAGGAACTGGTGAATACATCAAGCCGCCCAATGCACGTCTTTCTTATGGCACCATGGTCTTTATTCGAGCAAACATTGTTGCAGGTATGTACATTTATTGTGTATAGGTGAAAGGATGCCCTTGTGCTTAGACTTTTTTTTCTTTGTTTGCAATAGGAAGTCGTTTTGCTATGGCACGTGCAGCCACTGTTGCAGTGCGTTATTCGGCTGTTCGCCGTCAATTTGTGGATGCTGCTGAACCAAAAAAGTGGGGCAAAGAGGTCATTGAAACTCCTGTCATCGACTACACAATGCAGCAATATCGGCTCTTCCCCGTTATAGCAGGTGCTTATGCTTTATTGTTCACTGGCCGTGAAATGCTTCGTCTGTACGACCTGAATCAAGAAGCCATGAAGCAAGGCGACTATGGACTACTAGCAGACTTGCATGCAAGCTCATCCGGTCTCAAATCTTTGACAACGACAATGGCTGTAAATGCAGTAGAGGAATGTCGACGTGCATGTGGTGGTCATGGATACAGCATGTTTTCTGGTCTCGGTAGCTTTTATCAGGACTATGTTCCTAATGTCACGTAAGTTTGGGATTTGGATACATTGTTGTGCATAACATCATCTCATGAATCATGGATGTATATAGCTTTGAAGGTGATAATTACATCCTCACGCATCAAACATCGCGTTATATATGCAAGACGTATCGCAACGTGGTGGCAGGCAAAGCTGTTCCATCCGAGCACAACATGACTGTGACCTATTTGATGCAATACTTGCAAGATCCCAAAGCGACATGCGCTGACGACTTGACCAATCCTGAAGTGATACTCAATGCATTTGGGTATCGTGCAGCTTACTTTGCAGCACAGCTGGTGGAACAATTGGATCATGAAGGGCGATCTTGGAACAGCATGCTCGTCGAAGTTAATCGTGTGTCACGTGCTCATTGTCAATATATGCTTGTTCGCAGCTTTTTTGTCGGCATTCGCCAAGCGGACCAGCAACTACAGCCTGTGTTATCAGTATTGGCGCGTCTATTTGCATTGCATATGATGGAGCAAGAGCTTGCAGATTTCATGCTGACAGGATACATTACAAGTGCTCAAGGCAAATCCCTAAGGAAGCTTGTATTGGATTACATTTCAAAGATTCGAGATGATGCGGTGGCGCTTGTAGACGCGTTTGCATTGCCTGATTATTATCTTCATTCTGCCCTTGGACGATATGATGGAAAAGTGTACGAAAGCATGACCAAGATGGCTGAGCTAGAGCCTTTGAATCAGACTCAAGTAGTGGATATGTACGAGGAATACATCAAGCCCCACGTCTATAAACCAAATAGCAAGTTGTAAATGATGAATAAACAATAAAGGTTGAGAGACTATTGGCATCCTTGGCTGCTGTCCCATCTACTACCTACTTGACACAAAGTCGATTGTCCAACACTTGGATGTTCATCGGCACCCCAAATTTCCATTGGCGATTTATCCTCAGGGACACGTAATTGAATCATGTAAAAAGCGCCATAAAGTAATGAAGGCATGTGTTGCTAGACAAGAATGTCTTTCCCATGAATCGTATAGCATTTGTGCAAGCCTTGGGGTTCGCCGAGCATAGCTTATGGCTACCCCACATTTTAATGCACAGCAGCTTCCCACAGTAAAATTTCACATGCCGATTGCTGTCAGCTTTCTCCCCAATGTCTTGGTCGTCTCTTTCTCATCTTGTGCAACGCCCAGCATATTTAAACCTTCAACCCCAACAGCAATCCAACTACTCGAACTCCATTCAATAACTCACAATGTCGACTCCACTTGCCAGCGATCTCTTGCTCCCTGAACTTGAACGACAACTCAAGGAAGAACCCCACCTTATCCCAGCTGTTAAGGGTCTCTTTATTGTCACTGTCACCAAGAAGAAAAAGGCAGCTGCTGTTTGGTATGTAACAACCTTGTAATGAGGCATTCCCATCAGCAACGTTACTCATTTCATGGCTAGGTACATTCTTTTGCAAGGTATGTGAAGCGTGTCCTTTTATGGAATAGGTTTCATTGTCAAGGCTGGATCATTGTATCTCATCAATGTCCTCTATGTTGTAGGCAAGGATACGATGCCTGTCATCACCAACGACCAAGAAAAGGCCAAGGACGCTGCCAAGACCAAGGTTAGAACCGTCAAGATTCAAGTCGAGGACACTGATCTCGTCAACTTTATCACTGGAGGGTAGGTGGTTGATCATGGATCATTGTTATACATTGGTACTAAACATGTATATGTAGCATGACTGTAAGTCGTTGTTCTTACTACTGCTAATCAATTCAGGTCGATTCTGATATTCTTTCTTAACCCAAATCAAAGGGCGTAAAAGCCTATATGACAGGCAAGATCAAGGTTCGTGGTGATCTCATCCTCGCACAAAAGCTCGAAGACATCTTTGAGAAGGCTGGAGGACGTGATGTAAGTGTATTCTAAAGGCTCATTATCGGTCATACTTAATTATCTTGTCACTCTTAGCGCGCCATCGCCTTCATCAAGCAAAATGAACAGCTAAGAGCATTGACTGTGAAATCCAAGTTGTAAATCCGCGTGCAACACGATCATATCCCCATGGTACAATCTATACTCAATTAAATGGTATTACACGCAATTGGCTTGCAGCATTACTTGGATGATTGATACGGTTGAGAAAAGGATGCGTGCCAGGTTGGGTAACAGGGGGCGGATCACAGCATCCACTTTTGTTCTTTGATGAGGATGGGACGCTGATGAACATGAACATGAGCCTTTTGATCGGACATAGCTTAGTACTTGATCTCTTTACAACCATCTCTTGCTTAATAAAGTACATCGATTACACAGCCCATCATTACTACGTCAACAACACATACCAAAAATGCAACATGAACAATAAAAGGATGTGCTTTGTTAATACCAAAATATGTATTGAGTATAAGGATCTTCGTATATAAAGAATATTTACATGTACTGTAGTAAAAAGGTATATATAATACATTAGGGACAGTTGTTTACATCGCCATAGGGACACGATGCGGCAATGACATTGCCTTCCACACCAGCCAATTGGAAGACTGCCTTTAGCAAAGCTGAGATACCTTGACCTAAAAGAGAATGCCAATGTTAGATTTGGGGCAAATTGAAGTAAAATGATTCTACTACATACCTGCGATAAGTCCTCCAGCAGTGCTGTGCATAAGATCATCGTATGCTTTTGGATCAATTTTCTTCCAAATTTGACCAGCGGTCCAACCAATGAACATAGAGAATGGCACTTCAGGCGAGGGATTAATCATGGAGATGCCAATAGCAGAAAACGAGGGGAAGTAACGCCAATACTTTTGTGGGACAAGGAAGAAACGAATAAAGGGAGCGATGCAACCGACACCAGCAGCAACACCAGTGGTGATAATAGCACCCTTGCTAAGAGGAGCAGCTTCACCTGTAAGTAGCTTGGTGACCTGCAACCAAGCAGTGACGGATACGAGTTGAAATTCGCAAGGGGCATTAAGATCTTGAGATGTGACGCAAGGGTATGCTTCAGCAAAGAGAATAAACATGCCAACAGCAATACCAATAGCAGGGAAGGAAGCGACCGCCTGGGCCAAAAATTGGGAACGAGGAGAAGCGCCAACAATTTGGCCGGTCTTAAGATCACCGACCATGTCAACAGCTTGTGCAGCAGCTGAAGCAGAGATGTTACCAGCCATCAAGTTGTTCTTTTGAACTTGCTGAACGTTGTCAGCAGGCATACCAGCAAAAATGAGCTGAGTCATTTTGCCAACAGCACCAGTCGGGTTGATATCCGTTTCACCAGCAGCTTGAATACCGACAAAGGTAAGGATAAATGCAATAATGACGGCTACGATACTTTGATACACGGGCATGTGGAAGTATTCACCCATAATGGCACATGTGAAAATAATCGAAACGACAACGCCGGATGACCACCACCATGTAGGTACCAATTCATCGGCAGAATAAAGCTCGTCAGCTGCTGGCACAAAGTTCAATTCTTCAGCAGTGCCTATACGGAACACCTTGACCTTGATGTTGAGGGCCAAATAACGGAGACCATTCCAAATTTCGATACAGCCACCCTTGATACCACGCCATAGCGTATCATAGCGCACGAGCAATTCACAAATGGAAGACAACACCATGAGAGCAATACCAGGCCATAAGAAGAAGCTTTGTGCGCTATCGCCATCGCTGCTAAAGCCACTCATGCCAGTCCATACGCCTTTGGTTGTAAGAGTGGGACCAATAATACCCCAAATGAAAATGGATGAAACGAAAAAGCTGATCACAGTGGAGCCGGGGGTCATCAAACCAGCACCAAAGAAGGGCCAATCGAACATGTAGTACCAGCCCCAATCCAAGTCAGCACTGACCATGTTTTCATAACCCGTGCTATAGCCGATCCAGAACAAAATGTGAACTATACAATGGCAAGTGATGAGTTTCGACCCATACAAAGGAAAGGGATTACACTTACTGGTATCAAAGAAAGGTACCCAATGGGCAATGAGTGTCCAAAAGAAAGCAATGGCGAACCAAATGGCCATCCACTTTGCCTTTTTCATAGCTTCCTTTTCACCACCAATACTATCATGGAGCGAAATGATGGTTGTGGCGGTAGCACGTGGAGTTGGGAAAGGCAAATCTTGGTTGACAACAAAATGCTTGCGGAGGGGAACAGCAAAGAACAAGCCATAGAAAGCGGCAGAGATGGTGAACAATACAAGTGCTGCGGCATCACCTTTAGGTGTAGTCATGAGGCCGAGCTTATACATGGCAGGGATACCAGCAACAAAACCAGCTGAAAGACCACCAGCTATGTACAAGAGGATAATCATAAATAAACATGCATGTATATGCAACCCTTGAGTTGTATTTAACGTACCAGTAGTAGCAGCTGATTGTGCTGTAACGTTTTCTTTGGCACCAAAGTAACCACCGCCAGCCCACAATGGCAGCACACGTGATAATGGTTTGATGATGGCAAAACTAAAGATGGCACCGAACATGGATGCACCAAATGTCCAACCGATTTTGAGACCCAAATAGGTGTTGGATGCGGCTACCATGCATGTTAATTATCCCCTATGTGGAATTGGTATGCATATAGGGCTTACCAATCAAGCAACCAAGTAGCGAGCCTACAACGGAAGCACGCCATGTAAATTGCCATTCTTCTACAACGTATTGACCGAGAGGTTTATCCTCGTGCACCTCGATTTGTTCGCTCGATTCAGAAAAGACTTCCTTCTTGTCGATTTCATACTCGATCTTTTCCTCAACGATTTGAGGCTGTTGCTCTGACTCTTTCATGGAAAGGGGGTGAAGTTCAAATTAAACAAGTATAGAGATGAAAGAAAGATGAAAATGGTCCGAGGGGGAAACTCAAATGTGGCAATTTTATATGTCCAAGCTATGGTGCATGATTGATTCTTTCTACAAAATAACTGCATCCGGCAATTTCTGCTCGAAAAGGCATGTCTTTTACGATGTGATTGTGCAACATGAATTGTTGGTGGTGATGGACGGTGGGTTGGGGGGTGAGGATTATGGCTAAACATGAGCGAGTAAGAAAGAGGGGAGACGACCGGAGTCTGTTCAAGCGTGTCACCATCCGCTGCTTTTGCAGCCATGATTTTAAACATACTCTCTACTCCCTTTTAATCGCCTACTATGATTCATGATTACACTTGTCTTCTTTATTTTTCCTTTCGCTGTCATTTTTCGTGGGTAAAATGTGCCACGATCGAGATCGAACAAAAATGCCTACATTTGCAAATTTTGCCAAACAAGCGTGCGAAAAAAAGGACCCTTATTCGCGAAAAGGGCTTGAAAAGGCGAAATACTGCCTTATCCCGCTTATCTCGGGCTGAGATGCACGCGACAATCCTATTGGTGAATGGCTGACATTTCGTCCAATTGTTCATCAACATGACAAAACGGCTCCCTATATGGACGCTTGTGCCTGTTTCGTACATGTGACCCGACACACACACATCATGAGCCATCTTTCAACGCGAGATACATATTGCTCCTCTTTATCAGTGCGCTATAACCAGCCCCGCCTCTCCCCGCTCGCTTGATCGTTTTTGATTATTCTTTCTCACGATAAGGTGATGCACCAAAAGAGACACATGTTGCCATTTGTCAACAAAAACGATACATCCATTACACCTCGGCTGCTGATTGCGGAGTGATGAAACCCATTTCCTCGGTATACACCTCCTCTTCCCATCCTTCTTTGTTGTGCCTTACATCTTCTTTTTTTAGTAATGTTCTTGGAGTCGCTGTTTTCTTGCATTTGAATGAACCACATTGGCTCCCAACAGATGACTCACTTTTATGTTTAACATGTTGTTGTCAATCCTCGGGATCACATTGATCGATCCCAAACCTCGATCGGAAGCATGGTTATGGTTGCATAGTAGTAGTAGTAGTAAGCATGTTTATTTGACATTTGAGGAGTAAGGAAGCATCGAGTCACATTGGGCACAAGCGATACATGAAGCGTGTGAAAAGTTGTAGAATATACATGTCATGTCAAAACAATCTGTGTCATGTGTTTAGGCCACCTGCAGATGAAGGCAAAAGAAAATGGGACCACAATATCGGGTTGTGGATGTGTGGGGTGGGCAATCGGCGCTTTATGTTGATAATGGAAGAACCCGATTTATCGGAAGAAAGGAAAAGAAACTACAACAATGGATAATGGAGGATGATCATTCTCATAGATCGGTGTTTGCAAGCATGAATATGCAACTAGTCCACGCATGTCAAAACAACGTGGGATGAGACGATGGCTGCTGCATGACATTTAGCTCCATCCATGGTTCGTTCAACCAGGAACCAATCAATCTGAGTGGTGGCCCCAATTTCTTTTTTCACAAGGCTCGGACCACCACTACATTCTTTCAATACACGACGCTCTTACACACACACGCACACACTGCACACTATGAAGGTAACAATGGTGACACCTCATCCTCCCCCAGGTCATTCACCACACCCATTCTATAGGTCATTGACAAGATCCAACGTGCCGAACAAGAAGGTCGTTTCTTTTATTCATTTGAATTCTTCCCTCCAAAGACACCTCAGGTACCCTCCACTCTTGAGACAATCAGCACTCGTATTGCGTGTACTCATGTCCTTGTTAGGGTGTGCAAAACTTGTATGATCGTATCGAACGTATGCAACGCTTTGGTCCCGAATTCATTGACGTGACATGGGGTGCTGGTGGATCGTCAGCCGATCTCACTACTGAAATGGTCGCCAATGCACAAGCTGTATACGGGTTGGAGACTATGATGCATTTGACATGTACCAATATGCCCGTTGAAAAGATTGATCAAGCCTTGAAGGTAACAAGGATACAAGCTGGCTGCATGGATACGGGATCTCATCAATGTGTAGGCTGCGAAAGATTGTGGGTGTCAAAATATCTTGGCTCTTCGTGGTGATCCTCCTAAAGGTCAACTCAATTGGGAATCATGCGACAATGGCTTTGAGCATGCAGTGGATCTTGTACGTTACATTCGCAAGCAGTATGGTGATTACTTTTGTATCGGTGTTGCAGGTAATGTTGGGTTTGCATGATAAAATGGTGGTAGTTGCTAATGCATGTGTGTATGGCGTTTCTAAGGTTACCCCGAAGGACACATTGACAACCCTGACAAAGAAGATGATTTACGTCGATTGAAAGAAAAGGTGGATGCTGGTGCAGATCTCATCATTACACAACTCTTTTTCGACACCAACGCATTCACTACATTCGTCACTCGTTGTCGCGATATCGGCATCACATGTCCAATTCTTCCTGGCATTTTCCCTATCCAAAACTACAATGGTCTCAAGCGTGTGATCTCATTCAGCAACAACCAAGTGCCGCAAAAGATTTGGGATGATCTTGAACCTATCAAGGATGATGATGCTGCTGTCAAGGAATATGGTATCAATTTGACGGTGGAGTTTATTCGCGAATTCCGCAAGGCTGGCATCAATGGCTTCCACATTTATACCTTCAACCTTGAACGAAGCACACGCCTTATTTTGGAAAAGCTTGATCTCATGCCGGCCATGGAGGATGTCAAGCCGTTGCCATGGAACCCAGTAAGTTTGGAATAGGATCTTTGGGGCGATAATGATAGTGTGTGGTACTTACTATATGATTCCTATAGTCACTTACAGCAAAGCGTGCCAAAGAGAATGTACGCCCAATCTTTTGGAAGAATCGCACCAAGAGCTATATCCAGCGCACCGAATCGTGGGACGAATTTCCAAATGGACGATGGGGCGACTCGCGATCACCTGGTAAGTGACACGATGATGATAACCAAATACATCCAACGTGTGTACTCAACATGCTATTATAGCTTTTGGTGAATTGGATGGTTACGGTGTATCATTGAAGTATCCAACTCAGGAATGTCTAAAGATGTGGGGCCATCCAACGTCAACCGATGACATTGCACTTTTGTTCGCCAAATACTGTAAGGGATCTATAGCTGGTATACCATGGAGCGCACAACAGCTTGAAGCAGAAACCCAGATTATCCGACAGCGCTTGGCAGCTATCAATCTTCTTGGATTCCTTACCATCAATTCTCAACCCGCGGTAAATGGTGCCAAGAGCTCGCATCCTGTCTATGGCTGGGGTCCCAAAAATGGATATGTGTATCAAAAGGCCTATCTCGAGTTTTTTGTGTCGCCCGAGCAGCTGGATCAATTGACTGCCAAAATCAGCAAGAACCCACAAGTGACCTACTATGCTGTCAACAGAAAGGGTGATTTGCGTAGCAACATTATGCAAGAAGGCGACCAACCCAATGCTGTTACATGGGGCGTATTCCCTGGTGCTGAAGTCATTCAACCCACCATTGTTGAATCCATGTCGTTTATGGCCTGGAAGGATGAAGCATTCGAGTTATGGAATGAATGGGCCCGGATTTATGACCGTGAAAGCGACTCGGCCAAGATGATTTTGGATATCATGAACAACTGGTACCTCATCAATATCGTCCACAATGATTTCCAAGACGAGAATGGTATTTGGCGTTTGTTTGACTTAGAGGTAGACCAAATTGCCAACCAAAAGCAACATCTCTTTGATCTCATTGCCTAATCTTTATTCTCACGTTGTAAATGTATTTTGTCTTCATAATGACCTCCCCCTTCATCTCCCCCTTACAAGTGTATAAACTTTGCCACTTTTACATATCATACATATTTTTACGTGATGGGTGCATTGTTCTCTTGTCCAACAACAACGGCCCTAATAAGCTCATCCTCGTGTTGTTGCTACTAACAGAAACCAGTGTACAACATGCCACTTTACATCATACCGAAACCAAGGAACGTTTCATCTTATCAAAATGGCTGGCATTTGGGGGTGGGACGACTCACAAAACAGGATCAATTTTCCAGATTAGGCGTAGCAAGTAAAGGCACTTATGACAGCAGCTAAAATAAACGTTTGCTGGTAATTACCATTTCGAGAGCTTCCATTATCCGTGTCGGATGTTTATTACTCATCACATTATCAATCGCTGAGCTGCATTGGATGTTGCGACTCATGATGTCGGTTGTTGATGTATACATAGCATCTTTCAGAATCGTACATCAAAGAATGAGTTGAAGATGCGATGAAGGTCTTTTATATACGCTACCAGAAAGTAGTTGTGGTGTTCGGCGTACATGGCTATCTTATTAGCGTCCTCCCATCCAAAAGAATTACTCTGGTCAGCACCACGATGGACATGTATGTTTATTGGAGGCACATCGAATCAATGATAATACGTAGCATGTATCCCCGAGAACATCTTTGCAATAGTATTCATGAGAGAATATGAAGGAGGGGCTCAATAATTCAAGTACTTTATGAATAAGCGCTCTCGTATCCAGATAAAGGGGAATGGGGTTGAACAAAAGAGTCGAGTTAAGGGAGCACATGTAAAGAACTTCTTTCTACCAATGATAGCATAGATAATCATTGTTAGCCGTAAGATAAAGAAGCATGTTGTTTCTTTGTGAACCCACCTAGTTATTCGTGTATGATTACGATCAATGCCTCTCTAGATAATGTCGTTGGATTGTTGTTGATCAGCCTATCATCATTGGATGGTCATTGTGTGTGCGTGTGTCACCCATGAACTGAGTTGTCTACCATTTCTTTCATGCACCCAAAGTCAAAATCATTCGTTGACCCTATGCTTTCTCCTGACACACAAAGCCCACAGCATTCTACACCACCACAACCAGCATCACCAGAATTACCAGCAACAAACCGCTTCCAAGGACTTCCATCAGAGATTCTCCATGCCGTCGTTGACAAACTTCCCAATCGCACGCTCATTCAGCTGACGGGTGTCAACCGCGATCTGAGAGAGCTCATTTTAAACGGGCCATTTCTTTGGCGAGAGCTCCATTGGGACGAACTGGAGGAGGGCCTACTTGATGAGGAGTTCTCTTACTTTGCTGAAAAGTATTTCAAGGAGGGTCGCATGTTGCAATATGTCAGCTTGGATTTCTCGAATACGCAGCTATTCGAACACGACGAAATGGAGGAAATTGACGTGATGTTTGATTACCTTGAAGAGCATGGCTGTAACCAAGTGCAATCATGTAAGTAAATGGATGCTATTCATGACATGTTCGATCCATACTAAGAGTCATAGCTAGTTCGTATCATGTCGCGATATCACATCCCTCCCTCGACGTTATTGATGATCGCTGTTCACTGCCCAACGCTTGTGGATCTACAACTTGTGAGATCAAGGTATCACGAGGACATCTTTGAGGATTGCATCACCACTCTACCAACTGTGATACGACGTTTCCCATCCTTGAAGAGGTTGACAATGACCCTGATGGGTCATGACGACCCAGGAGACATCAGCGAAGATATACACAGCATCACTCAACACATTCACCTACGATCTTTGGTTCTTCAGGAAGTGACAGCTATACGATATTCACGAGATGTCTTGGAAATTGTTCCACGGCTGCCGAATTTACAAAAGCTGGCAATTGGATGCACCAACATGAGGTCGATCAACGATCATGATACTTTACTTCGTCACTGTCATCAGCTGGATTCAATAACAATCACGGAGGATCAATTTCTTGACTACAAACTATTTGCCTACGACATTGTGCACCGCCCAAACATGAAAAGTTTGTACTTGCGCGCTGATGCTGATGACTGGGAAACGGAGGCTATGGAACACGTTGCTTATATCGAGAAACACCATCATGAGCTTGAGACGCTTGTATTGGGGAATAGTGTATTCGTTCACCCACCATTGATCCGAAAACTTGGCAGCTTATCTTCATTTCTCAATCTACGATGCTTGGCACTCTCTGGATACTGCCTCGACCACCATGGATACGCTGATGTCGATGCCCTTCACAAAGAGTTGATTCACTTTCTCGGTGGATGCCCCAATCTGGATCAAATTCATTTCGAGGATATGGATGGAGTTGTTGGGGATGATACCTTGGATGCAATTCAAGCGAATGGCCTGCGCTCGCTGCATTTGGCACGGATGGCCAATATCACCACCAACCCCATTACTCGTCTTCTTAAGCGCCATCAGCAACTGGATCGGCTACGCGAGATTGTCATTTACGATATGGATCGTGTTGAGTATACTTTGCTTCCTACTATCGGCATCACATGCAATAGGCTCAAATGGTTACACTTTTATCCTGATGCAAGTGGATACAGAGAGGCAAGCGAGTACGTGGCCATTGACGAATTCCTTTCAACACACCGCATCAATGGCAAGATGGATCTATTGAAAATCGGGACCAACATCTACCAAGATTCGAGAACATGGAAGGACAGACTACTTTGCTCGCATGATTTTCTTCAATAAAGTTGCTTTACAAGCACTTGGGAATGTTCTTACTAAGAGATGGTGTTGCGTTACACAATTATGCACAGACATCGATCAATGATTGCGAATGTACATGGCATCGTTCCTTGACGAGGCAAACATCCACACTATGTACATGTATGCATATGCGAGCTACCTATAATGACTATTCGTGTGCCCAACCTTTGAGCGTTACATGTATTGTGAGAGAACTAATGGCACTAAACCAATGCTTGTGTGATACAAGAAAGGTCATCCCAGTTGCCGGACCTTACAATGTTTGTGGAAGCAAATGAACCTGCGCCGCTGAAGGGTTAAAATGTTATCATGAGACGCAGACGATCTCAATGCAACGGTTGTTCCCACCTTTTCTTCCGTTAAATGACCGAAGGGCACTTTCGTTTTCACTTTTTATAAACAACAACAGCAACAACCTAATTCTGAGATGTGAGGAGGTCTCATGATAAGCACGGATGAGAATCAAGAATTTAAGTTGCCTCTCTTCGGATCCATCAACCATATTTTTGGTTTGCATCAATCATGGGCATGAGGCTGTGGTGTGTGTGCATATGCAACCGGAAGAAACAGATGCCTACGCATGATATACAACCTTGCAGGTAAACACCTGCCTGCCATGCTATACATTTTTACACACAAGTATTAGTAACCTCGTGTGTATCACATAAGATGTTTCCCACAACACGATTTATAAGCACATGGGTATTGAGAACGTGCATAATTGTTTTTCTTTTCGCTTCAAAAAATCTCTCCTCATGGCTGCCTATTACGACACGAGCAAACCTACCGTAGGCATTATTGGGGCAGGGTAAGGGTTTATTCGATCAACTGTGCTATTGATACCATCTCATACGGCTACTATTACAGATTTAGCGGAATATGCGCAGCTATCAGACTCAAACAAGAGCTTGGTATCGACGCTCAAATACTTGAAGAAAGCAAAGAAGTAGGCGGTACTTGGCACTTTAACAGGTAATCATCGTGTAAAAGATAGGGTGAAACGGTTGAGCGCAAACGACTAAACTATGTGGAATTCCAAGATACCCAGGTTGTGCTTGTGATGTGCCCTCCCATCTATACTCGTTGTCCTTTGAGCCCAACCCTGGTAAGTAATAAATACATGCGCGCATTATTCAACCATTTTTAACCGAGCTGCGTGCTTTAGACTGGAGTCAGCATTATAGCCCTTCCGAAGAGATTCATGATTACATCAAGAATATCACCAAAAAGCACAACTTGTATGACAACATCTCTTTCAATACCCACGTTGATAAGGCAACTTGGCTTCAAGATGAATGTCGCTGGAAGGTGGATGTGCACAGCACGTTAGATGGTGCAGCATGCACCTATTACTTTGATTGCATGTAAGCTGCATTGTCTATTGAATCACGTGCCATCGTATTTATTATGTATACGCTATTCAAAAGGTATCTAAGTGTCGGCACCATTCGCGTACCCCGAACACCCAAAGAATTTACTGGATTCCAAGGACCCATTGTGCACACAGCGGATTGGGATAGCTCTGTTGATTTCACCAACAAGCGTGTGGCAGTGGTGGGAAGTGGTGCCAGCGCTGTTCAAACTGTTCCACGACTTCAAAAACAAGCAGCCCACTTGGTTAGCTACCAACGTTCTCCTGCTTGGGTGCGTGTGCGTCAACAATACCATTATTCCAAGCTCAAAAAGTTCCTGTTTCGATGGATGCCTTTGATCCTTTTGCTTCATCGCTGGTACATTTATTGGGTGGTAAGTAAAAATAACGATGAGAGGATTTGGATATTGGTATTCAGCATCATCATGCCATAGGGTGAACTTGGCTATGTCGTCTTTGGATATTACAAGAGCTTCCTTGCTCGATGGTATTCCAATTCAGTTGCAAAATCCATGCGTCAACGTATCGAAGGACAAGGACGACCTGATCTCGTGGAGAAGCTTATTCCAAAATACCTCATGGGTTGTAAACGTATCGCACCCTCTGAAGATTATCTCGAAGCGCTTTGTCAAGATAATGTCACTGTGGAGACAACATCCATCCAAAAAGTCGAAGGACGCACCATCACTACAGTGGATGGCAAAGAGCAAGAATTTGATATCCTTGTATTGGCAACTGGATTTGACGTGCCTGGTTTCTTGGCCAATCTTGAAGGTATAAAAGAGCTCTCCCATGATCGCCTTTGTTCATCACACCGACTAACTCGAATGATACTATAGTACAAGGAACACACAAAGAAACCTTGAATGAAATGTGGAAAGACAAATTCCCAGGGACATACAAAACAGTGCTAGTGAATGGCTTCCCCAACTTGTTTGTCATCCTTGGTCCATCCAGCATCCTTGGTCATAATTCGGTATTGGTGATGGTGGAGTGGTAAGTTGAATTCAAGTGGCACGGTTGTCGCAGCTTCCTAATGGCATCATCATGTATATAGCCAAGTCAATTATACAATCAAGTGCCTCAAGCGTATGATCAAGGAGAAGGTAGCAGCTATTGAACCCACTCAAGAAGCTCAAGACAAGTTTGTGCAAGAAATCAAAAAGGATCTCGAGACCACGGTGTGGAAACGAGGCGGTATGGTGTCATTGGGATCATCATTTGCCATGTCATTGATCATTGTTATCATACAGGTTGTAATTCGTGGTACATCAATTCGGCGGGAGAGGTAAGTTGATACGTATATTATGCGAATGTCATTGTTTATAGTAGTCATCTCATACAAATTCAAATAGGCATCTGCATTGTGGTCCAGTACTGTCACACGCTTTTGGTGGATGTTGCGTAGCGTCAAGAATCTCAAAGATTTTAACACGTACAAGGTGGTGTAATCGCAATAAAAGAGAGAGAGACAGAGAGAGACCTGGCGTATCTTTTTTCTGCTCGACCTTTAGTACAGCGAGGGATGTGTGTAGGCGAAAGAGGGGTTTTTATATCTTTTGATGTCCAATCCTTGAAACATTCGCATGGAAACAACATGTGGTCACCATAGCAACGCATAATAATAATGGATGATGGCGCAGCTGTTGCATGAAAAAGCAAAAAGGAAATAATGATGAGACGATGCACACCATTGGGGCGTGGTGAAAATGGGTACGAAGATGGGAGATACATATAACAAAGAGAGGAAGTTTTTATTCTATCAATGATACAAGGGGAAAGAAGCCAAAGATGACACCAACACGTGGTTGTGCATGAATGATCGCTTGATGATGAAGAAGTGTGGCCATTGTTCCGAAAATAGATGATGGCTTTTGATGTTTGATGGCGTGCTCGTGCGTAAATGTGTCAGGATCTGCCACTTCTTCCTACACCCACTCATTGTCTCTCCCTCCCATCCTCAACTGTTGCTCCATTCAGGTATACAACCACCACCTGCAAACGATTGTCCTGCTTCAACCCATCATGTCAATTCTGCAATTGTGTTGATCCGATTGTCTTTCACTGAATGGACAGGTTTGGCACGTACACATCCCACTACAACACCCTCATTCCTTGACACTCCATCTTCTCTTGCACACTCTTCTGCCACGACCAATCGTAACGGCATTCATTCCAGTATTTGCCTTCCACAAGGTCTTTACTCCATTATCTCAAGTCACGTGCAGCAACATGTCTTACATCCTTTTTGCATGGACCAGCAGATAGCCATTGTATAGCAGCAGCTTTATTTACACGTAGCAACTTGCTTCAATACATACAACTTCTTATGGACATATGGACATGGATATGGATATGGATATTGGTGTATGGGATGGAAGGAATTGGGTTTCCCTTGGTTGAGTGTATTCAAGAGAATCAATCCAAGGGGTCAACATTCATGGTGGATGTACATGGCCACTTTATCACTTGCATTCGAAGCATTTAGAATTCATGATGATGCTCCTACTACGGCATTGACCAGCCATCGCTTTCTATAGGACATACTTCTGTCACCTACAAGAGGAATAACTTTTCAACCAGCAAGTGGATTTATCAGCTGTTGCTTTTCCATCACTTCGACTTGGTACTCCAAGATGATACATCATGACCACTTTATCAGTTCAATCAATCATGACAACAACTCCCACGCCCAATCATTATAAACAAGGCTGTTGTCACCAACACTATCACACGCTCTTTCTTTCTACTACTTGTATCATCATCAATGGCCTTTGGTAAGTCTCAAGGATAGTCTTTATTATGTGATCCCCAAAATGAGGTACTCATGCATTCATCTATATAGCTCACATCATTGCTTTATCATCACTTGCTGTGCTCATTGCTGCCTAATGACATGTGGCTGTGTTCCTTGATGGAGCTTTGTGGTAGGTGTAACTATCATCTATATGGTATAAGGATGCCTAGTCTGATAGGAATTTGTTGGGACCGCTTTGTAGGTGACACAAGTACATCCGATGCTTAAAGGCAGCTCATGCAGTAAGTTACCACGACGCTAGCAACGCCTTCAGCAAGATTACATAACGATGACCTTATTTTATTGTTGCAGTATGACAAAGATTACACACCAACGCATGAAACATTCCTGAAGAGAGTGGGAACCCATTGCATGAAAATGATATTGACAAACACCTGGAGTGTGAAGCTATATACGAAGACGAAGGGCAACACCAACTGGTTCATGACCTTGTAGAAGAAGCCTTCATTACATGCGTACATGAAAGAGCGGGAAGGTGCAAATACTGCCAAAGATCAATGGTATTTTTCCAAGCTTGTCAAACGACGAAGCGCATCGTTGGACCACCTTCATCCCCATTTATCATCATCACACCCTGATCAAGTTGTATGTACAATTTATTTGCATCGCATGTAATTGGTACGTATGTATGAAATTCTCACCAAGCATGATTCTTATCCTCTTGTTCTTAGTGCCAAAGGGGATATGAAAGAAGAAGTGTTCAAGGAATTTATTCGCGAAGTACAGCAAGCCCCCAACGATTTCCAAGCCGTGCCGTTACAAGAGGAAGACCGCCTCAAATTGCGTGCCAAGTATAGTTCAGCGGTCTCAAGCGACAAAGAGCGAGCAAAGAAACATGTAAGTTGATACATATGGAGCTTTGTTGGTTGTATTCCTTATTAACAAATGCCTTGTAGCGAGTGGTCGGCGATACATGTTCCTATGAAGAAATGGTCTCTCTTGCAGAACACAGTGGGAGAATGTGTACAAGAACATTTATGGTCGGCAGCTTCGATTCGTCAACGGTACCACCGTATCTATTGCTGTCATTCAACCGGATCCACAATCGCTATGGAAGGTGTCTCCAACAACACCATACGGAGAACCTTGAGGTGATACTTTGGGTATGCAACGCAGCAATGGGAGCAGATACAACAAGCGACCTCGACAACTGCATCAACGCCTTGAAAAACACCACGTACTTGTTGGATTAATAAGCACCCCCTCCTTCACTTGCTATGTCTCTTTCCTTACTACATAAACCTTCCCTTGCTTAATAAGTTGTATATCATGCATCGATAACACAAATAAACGAATGCGATCAAATAGCGCAGCAATGTGGATCATGAAACAGTATAAACGATTGCTCGTGATATGGATAACCCCGAGCGATATGATATCATGGTGACTTGAAGTTGTGCTGCAACCACTACGGTACATTTCCTTGTGGCCTTTTGTGGATTTTGATGAAAAGGGGCATGGCCATGAGTAGACTTTCGATAGTTTCAAAGGGCTTGTTGAAATGTGGCTGTGGTTTATTGGCAGTAGCTAAAGTAAAGCCTGTATTGTAAAGAGATGAACATAAAGTAACCTGCGTATCTATGTTAATCTGTGCTCGTAATGGTCGAATGGTATGATGAATTCAAGTGACATGGTTGTTGCAAACTCCTACATAATGGCATCATCATTCATGTATATCCAAGTCAACTATACAATCAAGTGCCTCAAGCGTGTGATCAAGGAAAAGGTAGCAGCTAGTGAACCCACTCAAGAAGCTCAAGACAAGTTTGTGCAAGCAATCAAAAAGGGCCTCGAGACCATGGTTTGGAAACGAGGAGGTATGCGTGTGTATAATCAGGATCATCATTTTGTCATGCGATCGATCATTGTTATCATTCTGGTTGTAATTCGTGGTACATCAATTCGGCGGGAGAGGCAAGTTGATACGCATATTGTGCGAATGTCATTGTTTATAGTAGTCATCTTATACACATTTAAATAGGCATCTGCATTATGGTCGAGTACTGTCACACGCTTTTGGTGGAAGATGCGTAGCGTCAAGAATCTCAAAGACTTTAACACGTACAAGATGGTGTAGTCATAATAAAAGAGAAAGAGAGAGACCTGGCGTATCATTTTTTCTATTTGACTTGTAGTACAACGAGGGATGTGTGTAGGCGAAAGAAGGGGTGTTGTTGGTATTTATGTAGTGTGGATCGATAATCATTAAAATGCACCTTCGGGGAAAGGACCATACTCTGCAAGGTCTTCTACCTTATCACCAGATGCAAGAACATAGGCAATACGCAATCGTAGTTTGACGGCGCTCTATAAACGATCCTCTGTATTAGTAAATTGCCCACCCATAAACACCTTGATATCTGATTCATTACCTGTTGTGGGTTGTTGATGCGCATTTGCTGCTTCTCGGTTGTACCAGGTTGGACGACGTTACTACTGGCAGGTGCCATTTGCAGCTTTTGACTTCTTGGGACAGCAGCTTGGAACTGTAACGATGAGATCACACCTTGGGCACCAGAGTTGGCAAAGAGAACTTGGATATTGATAATGGCAGGATTGTTGCGATCACGTGAAGGTACAAGGTTGATGTCCAAACCATTCTTAGAATAAGCTTGATAGCCAGGTTGTTGTTGTTGTGTTGATCCTGCCATGGTAGCAGTAGCAGCGGCAGCAGCAGGGGATCCCATAGGAGAAGGACTACCTGCACCAAGAGATCGTTGTGCTGGTGAGCTAGGCGATACAGGAGAGAATGCTTGACCAAGCGAAGCAAGGGAATCGAGGCTGTTGACCGATTGAGCGGGTGGTGTTGAAGGTGCAGGAGCTGAAGCAGTATCACTACCTCCAAGCAAGTCCATAAGTACATTGGTGTTGGATGATGGGGGAGGTGAAGTAGGTAGTTGCTGTTGTTGTTGTTGTTGTGTGGCAGGTGGTGCACTGCTTCCACCAAAGAGATCGGCTAATAAATCCATATTTTGTGCTGGTTGTGATTGTTGTGGAGTGCTGTGGGGTGCAGCGGGGCTCTCAGGTGCAAGGGATGTTGCATTCGATTCTTGTTCATCTCCACCAGAAGCTGTTCCAACACCCATAAGATCCAAAAGAAGCTATACAATGGATAGAATAAGAATAGAGTGAATAATGAAAAAGGGAGGTACACAACTTACATCCTGATCACTAGGACCTGCCTTGGAAGATTTGCCGGGTGCTATTATATAAACCTGTAAGTTTCATCATCCCCATCATCTCATCGGTAAAAAGTAAAATATACCTGGGCTGGTGGGACCATTATCATTAGTCTCAATGATGGATCGACCTTCAGGTACAGGCATTGGTTCCAAAACGGCTGCACGAATATTATCGAAAGAGAAGAGGTGGGTGTATTCGACGGCACGTTGTTGAATTTCCACTTCCATACTTGCTGTGTGTTCTTGCAAGAGTGCTTTGATCTTTTGTTGTGCTTGAGCATCATGGAGTCGAGAAGAGAGTTTCATCAATGCCGTCAAAACGTATTCACGGGTGAGTTGATTCGCATAAGGACCGATCAAGATGGATTCAAGCAAGTCGATAACCGCATTGTCTGATACCTGTGAAACATCTTAGATACCCTATACCCAGCATAGAGACATGATATGCTTACCTCCATTTGTTTGTTATCTTCTTCGAAGTTTCCTCCATTCACAAGAACATCTCCAAATTCACCAATAACCCATACACCAGCAAGAACAAATGCTTCCTATTCAAATCGATCAGTAAGATGTATATATATATATATACCACCATTATATGCCAAATCCATACCTGAGAAATATCTTGTTTCAATCCAGCGTAAAGTTTTTGAACGGTATATTGATGAAGCTGTGTTGTTTGGACAACCAATCGGATAAAACCAGATAAAACTTCTTCACGGACATGGTTACCAGCGAGCTTAAGCATACGCAGCATGGTATCAATGTGCCATCGGTTGTTGGGTGCAAAACGTTCAGCGGCAAGTGAAAGTTTGGTGGTCATGCTCTGCTTGAATTCGGTATCGGCCACCTCCAAGAATGCCAATAATTCACGAGTAAGGACACGCACATTGCTTTCGTTGATCAATGCAAAGCTCAACTCAAGGGCACGACGACGAATCGAAATATCTCCATCTCTCAAACAATCCAAGATGATGTTGCGATGACGTTGCACAGCCTGTGATTCGATGCCAACGGTCTTGTTCAACGTTTCCAATGCCACATAACTACTCCCCCAAGGTATATGGTTAGTATCATCTCCTCCATATGTATATTCAATGGACCTACCGGATATTGTTGTCGCGATTGCTCAAGAATTTACCAAGGATATTCACCGCCAAGACACGTAGGCCAGCTTCACTTTGGATATCCATAATCGTCAAGACCGTTTCATACAAGATTGCATTGCCGACATTCTTTGTGCTTTCAGTGTTGGTTGCCACTTGAGCCAAGATATCATTCATTGCATCCGATGCCTCTTGATCGTTCTTGGCTAACATACGCAATAGACGAAGCAATTTGACTTGTAAAAATGGATCCGTAACACCTGTGACATCGTGCTCAGGAGAGAATCCAGCGCTTGTCAAGTTTTTGAGATGACGCACAAGAAGAGGGACACCCTACATTATCAATGAGATCCTTGAATCACCCACATGATTGTCCCTTAATTTACCTTTCTAAAGATTTCAATGTATTCTGGATGCTGACGGCACATTTCAGTGACCAAAGTAACACCAGTGACAAGGACGCCATGGCTACGATCATTCAACAAGGTCTTGGCTCTTGACAAAAAGTTCTCGCTCAACTCAGGCACACGGCGAATAATACGCAAGGCACACAATGCAGCCTATGGATCATTGTTTGTATCAATGTTACCATCACCATCATGACCATCACTATTGGCTGATGTAAATTACCTTTTTGCGGATATATGTATTGGAACTACCCAAGAGCTTCTCCACTTCAGAGCATAAATCACGAGCCATTTCAGAGGAAGAGATGTTGCCGAGAGTACATAAAGCCAAACCAACGACGTACATGTTGTTGTGGTTCAAGTCGCTGTAGGATAATAGAACATTGAATAAACATCATCCTCCTCGCCTTCCCACCCAGCCAACAAAAACGCCTTTACTTACTTTTTCAAGCTGTTGGTGACTAGAGTCAATACCTCGGTCTTTTCATCAATCAACAACATGATACCCAAATAACCGAGACGCTTGTCGGCAAACTTGGGGCTTGCAACCAGCTTTAGACACTCCATCTGGCCAAAATGAGCCGGGTAACCGAGCATGTGAATGTATAACAACTTGGAAACGTTGGCATGACGCGTGTCGCTATGTTCTTCTTTGAATGCAGTACGAATGTTGGCGCTCTCTTTTTGGATTACGGCTCGTTCCTCGGCAGCAGTCTTACACGCGCGCACAGCCTTGATGAGGTCTATGGATGAGGCCCTGTTAGCTGCCATGCCACCCCAACTGCCACCTGCATAAAAAGACTACCTTTGAGACGATAAAGAGGAAGCTTGGATAGAATCTGCTGCGAAATGCTATTGATGCTGTTCATTTCGCTGTATTTCCCGTTGCGGGCGTCGTCGAATGAGAGAGAAAAAGCGTGTAGAGTCGAGTAAAGTAGAGGAGCGAGAAAATACAGCTGCCACTTTAAGCGAGCGGAATCTCATTGAGAAGATCTACGCTTGTCTCTAATAATATACAGGCACTCATTGATCCCACACCCTCTTGAATATACATCACCCAGTGCATCAATAAAGACCATATAAGCTATCCACTATTCATGCTGTCTCAATGTAATACCTGAAAAGTGATCCATCACTATTGCTAGGTACGAAGCTGGTAAACCATCATGCTAGGCACTTTTAAACTACGTATGCCGCAGGTGCAGCAAATGCTTAGAGAGTACTGATACCTATGATGTATACCACAGCATATACCTGCAGCACTTTTACTATAAATCAAATCTCACATTTCAAGGTTATCATGATCCTCTGTTACGTAGCGCAATAAAGCTATCAGTGTGAGTCGTCAAAGCGGTATCATATTCAGCAGCTGATTGAGCTATTTCTGAGGGCAAGCAAAAGCCTTATCAGGTACTCGATACCGAAGTCACATGATGGTATCGTCCAATTCAGGAAGAAGAAAGATTTCATACATAATAGGAAACTTAGAAGTAGTTGCCAATGTAATCTTGTATTCGCCAAAGTAATCCTTTAATCCAACATCATTCATAAGATAAAGATTAAGAGGTACGACAAATTGCTCTAATGGGGGATAAATCGATATGGGAAGTTTCTATCCGTCGGGCGTGCAGTGTGCAAAGGTGAATCAGTGGATGTGAGGCAGCACTTGATGCGTGGTGGCGAATATACACATGGCGTGTTAAAACATGCACTTGAATGGCGATGGCTGATAGGTAGCACAAAGCTTGATGATAGTAGCTGCCTGGGAATTGCGCACCAACCGTTCGAGTTGAAAGCATCAAGCACAAGTTGATCATGGGCACCCTCTTTTTCCACGCGTTGTATATACCCAATTCCTTCCATCCCATGTACCAAACCAATATCCATATCCATATCCATATCCATAGAAGCTCGTTTGTATTGAAGCAAGTTGCTACATGTAAATAAAGATGTTTCTATACAATAGCTATCTGCTGTTCACGTACCAAAGGCTGTACGGCAAATTGCTACAAGCAACTTTGAAGCAATGGAGTAAAGACGTTGCTAGTAGCAGCTGCTGTTACGATTGGTTGTGGTCGAGGATTGTACAAGAGAAGGTGAAGTGTCAAGAGACTCGTGTGTTGTAGTGGGGTGCACACGCCATGGACTTGCCATTCAGTCAAAGAGAGTTGGATCAAGAGAGTTGTAGGATCGACATGATGGGTTGAAGCAGGACAATCGTTCACAGGTGGTAGTTGCACTTGAATGGGCAAACAATTGAGAATGGGAGGAAAACACAAGAAGCGGGACGTGGAAGAAGTGGGAATTTAAGTAGCAGGTTGACATGACATTTCTTTGTTTGGCCGTTGTTCAATCAAATCCTCTCGGTTCAAGAAAGTTGAAGGATGAGCATGCTGGGCTGGAGCAGAGCAATCATTCACATGCATTGGGTTGGGTAAAAAAAGTTGAATGGGAGGAATGGGCTATCAAGTGGCAGTTTACAAATAACTTTGCAAAATGATTTTTCTCATATTGGATGATACTTCTGTGGTTGAGCGTTTTTCTGTCGAATTCCCTCGGATCATGAAAGTTGAAGGATGGGTATGATGGGCTGGATCAGGACAACCGTTCGTATGCATTGAAATTCGCAATGGTGCTGATTGGAAAGAAGTGGCCGTTAGCCGGCAATAATGACTGTTACTGAAAAATGCATAAAGTAATCATACATCGACCCTTCCATTCATGCAAACGTAGCTGTGTTACACAACACGACCCTCTGCATTTTTTGCTCTGCCAGGGTCCACCTACTTCACAATGAACAAAGATCACTTACCATATAGCATCACGCTTACAAGCATAAAGGTGCCTGTATCTCCAAACTTTACAATGAAACGTGGGGTTTTGAATAGAGCAATATGCTCGGCGGGGTGAAAGCGATCTTGTGTCAAAGTATGAAGTCCATCGGGGCCAATCCCAGATTTCGCAATGTCGCCACCAGCCCAGAGCTGGATCTGGGGGTCGACCTCTTCGACGACGACGATAAAATATTTTTGGGCTGTTTGCGACATTGAACGCGAAACTTTCACACAAGGTGCTGTTGGCCAAGCCGAGCCCATTGCTCTAATAAAAACCCCACGTTTCATTGTAAAGTTTGGAGATACAGTCACCTTTATGTTTGTAAGCGTGATGCTATATGAAGAGTGGTCTTTGTTCATTGTCAAGTAGGTGGACCCTGGCAGAGCAAAAGATGCAGAGGGACCTCTTTGTGTAACTCAGCTACTTTGCATGACTGGAAGAATGGAAGGATGATACTGTATACTGTTGACAAAGCCCGTACATTGCGAGCTAACAGCCATTTCTTCACAATAGCCACTGTTGTCCACTCTATGACATGTGGGCGATTCTCCCTGCTTCAGACATTCATTTCCATATTGGATTATGTTGATCCGAGTTCGTTAGGCGAGATACAGCCAAAAGAGGGATTACATCAATCCACACATCTAACCATGCTCTATGTTGCTCAACTGAGTAACCTTGTATGAGCGTAGCTCAGCCAAATCGCTCGGATCATGCATAATCCAATTATGGAAATGAATGTCTGAAGCAGGGAGAATCGCTCACATGTCATAGGTGGACAACAGTGAGCTTATTATTGAAAGTGTGTTGATCGCAATGTAGGCTTTACTGTCCTCAACAGTATATAGTATCATCCTTCCATCCTTCCAGTCATGCAAAGTAACTGAGTTACAAAGAGATTTCCTCTGCATCTTTTGCTCTGCCAGGGTCTAGCTACTTCACAATGAACAAAGACCACTCTTCATATAGCATCACGCTTACAAACATAAAGCTGCCTGTATCTCCGAACTTTACAATGAAACGTGGGGTTTTTATTAGAGCAATGGGCTCGGCTTGGCCAACAGCACCTTGTGTGAAAGTTTCGCGTTCAATGTCGCAAACAGCCCAAAAAATATTTTTTGGTCGTCGTCGTCGAAGAGGTCGACCCCCAGATCCAGTTTGGCTGGTGGCGACATTGCGAAATCTGGGATCGCCCACGATGAACTTCATACTTTGACACAAGATTTCTTTGACCCCGACAAGCACGTTGATCTATTAAAGAGCCCACGTTTGATTGTAAAGTTTGGAGAAACAGACACCTTTATGTTTGTAAGCGTGATGCTATATGAGAAGTGGTCTTTGTTTAATGTAAAGTAGTATGACTATAATAGAGCAAAAGATGCAGAAGGACCTCTTTGGGTAACTGGGTTAAAAAGTTTGGACTTCAGGGACCATGCATGACAGGTACACCACCCTCATCTTCATGTCATACATTGGCAGCTAATAGCCACTTTTGTGCATTCCCAACTTTTGTGCATTCTATTGTAGGTGGACGATGCTCCTGCTCTAGACATTCATTTCCATGATTAAAGTAGGTTGATCCGAGCTGATTTGGTTGAGTTACGCTCACACAAGATTACATCAGTTGAGCTACATCGAGCGTGCTTTTATGTCAGAGTGATGTAATCTCTCTTTGACCGCAACTCAGTCAAATCAGCTCGGATCAACCTCTGTCATGGAAATGTCTGGGCTGGGGGCATCGTTTCCATGCAGTGGATCTCGCAACAATGATGATTGGATAAAAGTGGCCGTTAGCTAGCAATACATGACTGTTCCTAGATGATTCATAAAGTAATTATACATTGACCCTTCCATTCATGCAAAGTAGCTGAGTTACACAAAGAGGTCCCTCTGCAT